TCCACTCGATCTGCGTTCAGGCTTTTCTTCTTCGATATCGGAATCAACCGGGTCTTTATCAACCTTTTTTCGACCCCATCTGCGTTTAAGTTCTTCTTGTTCGGCATCCGCGTCAATTGAGTCTTTGTCAATTTTTTTTCCACTCGATCTAGGTTTAGGCTTTTCTTCTTCGGTATCTGAATCAGGCGGCTTTTTATCAACCTTTTTTCGACTCCATCTGTGTTTAGGTTTTTCTTCTTCGGTATCCACATCAATCGAGTCTTTATCAACCTTTTTTCCACTCGATCTGCGTTTAGGCTTTTCTTCTTCAATATCGGAATCAACCGGGTCTTTATCAACCTTTTTTCGACTCCATCTGCGTTTAGGCTTTTCTTGTTCGGTATCCGCGTCACCTGAGTCTTTCTCAACATTCTTTCGACTCGATCTACGTTTAGGTTTTCCTTCTTCGGTATCCGCTTCAGTCGGGCTTTTGTCAATTTTTTTTCCACTCGACCTACGTTTTGATTTTTCTTCTTTGGTATCTGAGTCAACCGAATCTTTCCCATATTTCTTGATGGATGATTTTCGCCTAGTTTCCTCTGCTTCCTTTGCAGTCGACCGACGTTTGGTTTTATCTATTTCAACATCTGATCTCTCTATATCCGAATTCTCTTCCGATGTTTTTGGCATTTCAATAACAGCATGAGTTTTGGATTCCTCATCTTTAGATTTCCAACATGCCCTGGGAAATATTCGAGATATATTTCCCAATTTGGATGAAAAACCTTTCTTTGCTTTTCCACGACCGCCGTCGGAAATTGTTTTTTCGCCCTTTTCTGCTTCTCCAGTCCTCTTCACTTTTGCAAATACACAATCTTTTTCAGTTTCGTCAATATGAAGTACATCTGGATCATCCGATGAGTCCCTTGGTATTAGGAACAAAACAATTTAATCAAAAGCTTGCTTACTCCATTATTAGCAAGAACGCTGTAGTAGGTCAAAGTCGAATAAGGATGCCCAAAACGTCACATAACACGATCCAAATTGTGCAAATTTAATTTACTTCCTAAATATTTTATTATTTTTCAGTCGCCGTCATAGAAAACTAGAATTACATTTTCTCTCCATTGCTTTTCATGATAATCCCTAAACTTGTATGGATCTAACAACTATACCTACGTGATCCGAATTCCCTACTGTTGATTTTTTTATTTCAATTGTAATCGTGAAATATTAAAAATTGGGTCTTTATCTGGCGTCCTTATTATTTATACGAAATTTTATATGGAGTCGGGTCCAAGAAATAGACCCATGCTGTTCATATTTTGTCTCCTTAATTTGTATCTCAAATTGAAATCCTGAATAAATTTTCATAATAGAATATTAACAGTTAGGCCCTCTTGTCTTATAAGGATTTACATCTCCTGAATCTGTTTATATGCGGTGGTGTCCAAAAAATAGACCTTTGTGATTCAAATTTGGTACGGTCGACTTCTTTGTCAATATTTTCACAATGAACAGAACAGAATAATATATAAAACGACTCACTTGATTTCCGATAAATCACTTAAGTCACCATATTCCATCGGATTATGACAAATGCAGCATATATTCTCAGAACCTTCAAAACAAGTCTTGCAATAAAGCGCCTTACAGCCCAAGGACTCGCATTTAACCCGTGTATCACTAACAGGTAATAAAGATAATTAGAAAGCAAAACAATTCTTTCAAATCGATTATTAACTGAATTACGCTTTTAACGGTGTGCCACAAAGTAAACATTTTTCAGATTTGGAGCGACCCAGGATAAGACGACACCACCAATACCTGCAGGGAAATGAACAAAGAATAAAAGATCCATGTTCAAAAGACGGTAAATTTACTTTTCGGTACGTGCTCTAATCCAATCCATCCAGGAAAAATCATCAACAGTTTTATCAGAAACGAAAAGAAGCCGAGCTTTGCGTCGAGCCAGTTTGAAAAAAGTCACTACATATTCGAAATTATTAATGAATTCGTTGGAAAGTTTCCAAATTTTAAATTCTTACTGCGATTTAGCAAAATTTTATCATAAAGCCATACAGCACGCTCCCTGGCCACATCTGGATAATACAAACGCATGATGGCATGTCTTAAACGTAAGCCATATGGCTGACAGAGCAAAAATATCCATGCCAAGCAACATAACGACGCTATCAAGTAATATGTCGTAAAGTTTGGTTCATACGGTAACGGTAAACAGGTTTTTGTATCGACCGTGTAATTTTGTGACATTGGTTCAAAAGCACCCACAATACCGCGAAAAATTTCCCCCACAAAACCGCTACCGTTTACTTGAACAGTAATGTAAGGAGGGGCTGTAAGATAAGATTTGCAGAAGCAGCGAATCGGTTTTTAATCGTTCATTTATCATAGTTTTTTGCCTATTATATTATAAACTAACGTTCAAAGCCCCGTTGTCTTAAACCGAAAAACGATATCAAAGCCAAAACCCAAAATAGACTGAAATCCGAAAGACATATACAAAATAGTTGTGTAGTGGATATTGTTAGAAATACGGCAGATTTGGCCATTTGTGTTAATTCCACGCGGGTCAAACGACAGTCGCTGAGCTTTAAAATTGTAAATAAATTATGAATTAATTAACAATAATTTACTCCCTAAAAATATCTGAATGGTTACTTTGGGATATTTAAAGCTTTCCCACAATGTTAAGGGCAATGCTCTTTCCTTTTCTTGTTCGCGACGCTTCTCATCAATTTGAACAAACTCAATGGTAATAAAATTATTTTGATAGCTTGGATTGCGTACGTATTTCATACGAAACCAAATCGCTCTGAAATAAATATAAAAATAAAATTATTTTAATTGCTTCTAGCATACAGTCACCTTTTTATAAATTCGCTATCCGAGCTTACTTAAATAAGACAAGGCACATCAATAAAACGCTCAAAATATCCAACCAACCGAATATTAAAATAAATGTTTGCATATGTTTTCTAATATCTTTCATAATATCATCGCGTATTTGACTCAGTTCTTTAGAGCTGGTCGTCTTAAAATAGAAATCATGATCAAAAGTTATCGATACATCAAATAATCGCTTGACCTCGTTGGCGAATTCTTTCAATTCTGCGGATAGATTTGAATGTAAAATTATTTTATTACCCACGTAAGTCATCAAAATTAAATTTGTGTAACGAACTTACTATTCATGACCACACCTATTATAGCATCGTCAACAAAATCTATTAATACACAGATAACATCGACAATCTTCGCCGCATAACAAAACATGCTAAATAATTTGGTTAAATGACAAAGAGCTTTAAGTGGACCGAGTTTTTCACTAAAAACAAAAGTAATAGAATAAATTTAAAAACGAGTAACAAAGTTATGGTTGCTTTAAAGCGAATTTTTGATACCCACCGCCCCAAATGAATGCATGTACCTTTTTAACTATTTTGTGAATTATGTAGGTGTTAGTTGGCCGCGCGATTAGAATTTGCTTTTCGCATCGGCCTTGGAAAATGTTTATTTTACTCATTTATTATTTCAACTCAATATCTCTCTAATAGATAATAACTTAAAGATTTTTGCTGATTTTCTGATAAGTATTTGCACAAAATTTCAGACTTACATCTGCTATGATTCATACGTTGTAGTTTTTGGTGAGTTGCAATCGGATAGCGCCTATTTAAAAAGTTCGCAAGCGCTTACGAATCGATGTACATATAAGAAGTTTCACCTTTCTCCTTTTTACTACTTGTTGACGCGCATTCATTTTAAACTAAAAAGCGTAGTTTCATAGCAAACGTTTCATCTTTCTCGCTATGTTCAGAGTTCCAAGAGCGTAGGCGGAAAGGCACAGCCATCGATTCACAATACAACGCTGATGGTAAACGTTTGCATACTTAACAGAGTAACAAGCATTTCTTTCAATGTTATGCAATCGGAAGGACAAACCTTTTAGTTCGTGTAAGAAGCGACTGAATTGAATTTCAGATATGTGCTGTGAAGGCGAATATTAATAATTCTTACAAAGTACTTTAATGAGTACATCTGATCTGGCGAAACAAGCCATAGGAAATCTGGTCAATATGTCCGCAATTGATTCTTAACTAACTCATACAAGAGAAGATCAAAACCGCTCTTAATACGTTTTTCTCGAATAGCTGCATAGAAAGAAAGTGTAGGCATTTTATTCCGCTTTAACCTACCGACAAGAGATCATAGCATCGTTGGCTGTATTCATGCAACGTTCAAATGGTGTGCCAAACTCCTTATTGCACATACTGACTATATTGCGTAACCAATCAAATGCGTTTTTAATGCTGGCCACTGAAATAACAAGAACAACATTTCGCATTATTCCAAAAAATTCCTTTCACTGGGTGTATGCCGTTTGTCAAATACTCACATAAAATGATTATTAATTCCTGTATATGATACAGGACTAACTGCACTTTTTTCATAACATTTTTCAACTCTTTTATTGCAACAAGTATAGCCTCTTTGATGGCCACTAGTGGGACTTTAAGCGTGTCCAACATGTCACTTAATGCCTGTTTCAATTGCATTTGGCCACAAGTTATGCTTGAAGTCATCACGTCAATATTTTTAAACATATTCGCCGTTGGTCCACTAACGGCGAAGAAGAACGCTAATGCTACTATTAAGGATCTGCCACGAGAGCTGCATAATATAGGTATAGCTAACGTGATTGTACATCTTTAAAAGATTTTTCGGTTAGTTTTAATTAACTATTTTTCCTAAATGACAAATTTACCAATGGCTACTCACCTCACTTCCTTGCTATGACCCATTAGCAGGGCAATGAAACCGAATATAGTGAAAAACACCCATCGCGCTACATTCAGTTCTTTTTCCGTAACGCAATTGTACCATATAATGGTTATTATAAAACCAACCACGTAACCTATTGTCATAAATGTTAAAACATCATGTATCGGTATATTACTTTCAAGAAGGCGTCGAAATAATGAAGCCACATATGTTTCTAATTTGGCTAAAGTCGATCTACGTTTACGTTTGTCTCCTTCTCCTTCTTCTCCTTCTCCTTCTCCTTCTCCTTCTCCGTCTTCCCCTTCTCCTTCATCTTGCGTATTTGTCTCCTCACCCGATTCTTTTGATATATCTATAACGGCATCCTTAGCGGATTCCTCGTATTCAGATTCATTGCGATTAGCAGATGCCTTTCGAGATTTACGTGAGGATCTTCTTCTTTTCTCAACACGTTTCTTTTCATCACTTTTTGATTTCTTTTTGATGAGTTTTGCAAAGAAAAGAACAACTTTATGAACGATTTTTGAACCTAAAGATCTAATCATTTGACGCTTTCTTTTTGATTAAAATATAATTCAAAATAAAAATAAGAAAATTTTAGGGTACTCTCATAAGAGGGATCATATCTATACGGGAAAACCGTTTCGTTTCAGAGTCACTAACTTACGGTCAAACTGACACATATATGTAATTTTCCATTACTCTACGCATCGAACTTATCGGGTTTTTTTCCCATTGTTTAACAACCAAACCCATTTCAGAATACTTTAGTGTAGCACTTTAACATTCGATAAATTTCTCACATCACATATTACACATTTTCAAAAAACTATACGCCAGTTCAAGAAGCTGTTGTGCAAAACCAGTAAAAAAGAACAAGCCAGAACGACTCATCGGAAAATTCGAGTAATGTATATTTACAAGCCCTTGCTATTAAAACCGCAATAGAAGTTCCGAGCACAGCTAATGAGCTGAAGTAATTGTTAATTGATTTGTAAGTATCAGTGTTCTGCAATTTAGTGTCCAATTAAAGAAAAAGAGTTTATTTTCGAATTAACTTTTACGTTAGTCTTTTAAAATAAGATCATTATCATCTTATGGTATCTCCAACTCGATAAAATGTTATTTTGGAGGCAATGTGTCGATCAATTAGATTTAAGACGCTTTGGATTTCTAGCTCTCCCTCTGCTGCTCTCTCTTTCTTCCGTGGCCATATATTTCCCTTTGTAAAACGAGTCTTGACGTTTCCTACTTGAAATGAAACTAACAGAAGAACTGTGGCTGGTTTATTAACGTCGAATGGACACTCGACTCGACCATCTTTTTCGACAGTGTCGCATTATGAGTATATATGAGTCGACTACTGTGGACTCGAATAAAGTTTTTTAATCGGAGACAAAAACAGTGTTGTATTTGGCATGTAAACGCAAATATATAATTTAAATACATTTTTTTATATATATTCATAATTTTGCAATTCTTCTTTTTTTATTAATTTCTTTTTGATAATATCTCTACAGTACTTGGGTTTTTTTAGCTATTAGATTCCTAAAGACGCAATTTGGGGAGTGTCTTCTTTCTTGTGCATAGACAGCGAAATGTCAAAAAAGTAGTCTTTCAAAATCCATGGAGGTTTAAGACCAAATTAGTGGAAAATTCTTAAGAGAATGCTCAATTACTTTGTGATGTACAAACAATAGTCAATTGCAGATGGTGACTTTCGAATTTTCTTGGCAATAATAATCTTTCTCACAGAATAGATTTGTTTGAATTAAGAAGCTTGGGGACTATTTTAGCTTTTAATTGATAAAGTCTATTTTCGAAAGCTGGGAAACCAGTTTCAATTATGATCTATGCAAGGATGGGTTTGGCAAAAAAAAGTAATCTTAATTTGAATTGTTTGCTTACTATGCGTTCTATGAGAGTTTACATAATACAGTTCAGTTTCATAAAGTTGCACTACAAGAATGTAAAGGATACACGACACATATGATAACTTAATCTAGAATCTTCTTTTCCTACCTAAGATATTAGGATTTCGCGAATACTGCTGTTGTTAATAGATATACGTGACGATAGATGTTTTTACAATGCAAACAAAATACACGTAGGCCACGGTCTATCATTAGAAGTCATTCAGATCGAAAGTATCTTCAGTATATCTCGAAAATCGATTTAACAACGGGCGGGTCTATCTCAAGTCCTTCACGGAAAATCAATATACCCCTGCATCACAAGTGACGTAGGGCATAAAAATATATAAACACTAAACATTTCAATTGAAGTAAATAAAACGTTGAAATGAAAATCTTTCAATTTCAATAATTCGTGAAACACACACCCGAAGCAAGAAAAAAAATTAAATATAAAAATCCAAACCCAAAAATCGGATGCAAGACAAACTATTTTCTAATCGGGCTTTTCATGATTCACGATCATCAAATCGACATATTTATCGACATTAATAGCAGATGAAACCTGAACAACCTGAAGTCATCAATCATTTCAAAATATTTGCAGTTGTTCAATAAAAAATTTATATAGGGTGATACATAAATGCGATTGAAAAAAATATATATATAAAACTCTTGATTACGGTAACTAGTATAAAACATCGTTTATTTAATTAGGTACATAGATTACAATATATACATAGTTACAATAATTGTACTTTATTTTAACGATATTTACTTATAAAGGTAAGTTTTAAGTCGTTCTAAATGTAGTTACAATCAATAAATTAAATTCAATTATTTAGAAGTATGTTAATGACAGCTCCCGTTCATCAAACACTGCCTTCGCGTAGTTTATCTGGAAAAAGATTAGCGCATAAAAATGATTGAATTATTGAATAATATCTCAAAAAAGTTATTGAAAATTATTGGGAAGAAGTTATTTGTCATAGTTCGAGCGAATCTTGTTAATGTACAGTTGAAAGCGAATAGACTTGTAATTACTAATAACTATTTTCTCATTTAACTGAGAGATTCTGAATTGATTTATTTAACTTTATCCCTAATGATCGATATTAATGAAAAAAAGGAAAATAAATGATTTTTGTCATAAAACTCCTGACTAAAGATTGCATTAAATAAGGAATGATTCTTACAAAAGAATTGATTTATAACATTTTTTTTGTATATTTATCAGGCTTTTTAAAGCCATTTATTTCATCAATTTGATGATGATAAAAATGCTTTTAAAAAGTTACGTTAATATATAATTGATATCGTATTTACTTACACATCTTGAAGCCCTTTCAGCAATTTCTTCATTTTGACAACGAACTCGCGGTCGCGTAACTTTTGGTAAATTCGTGGATATTTCGATGTAATAACTCGGTGTAATTTTGCTTGAGTGAGCACTAGTCGCATTTGTGGTCAAAGGATGACATGATAGTACCTCGCTCAAATGACATTCAAACATTATCGCAGGATCTTCTTCACACCTTGAGAAAATGCGAATGTATTCCGTGGATAAAAGAAGTCGTAATTTCGCTTCTCGGTCGTTACACAAATTTGGCTCATAAAATATTAGTTTTTCATTTAAATTTCTACGATTAATTATATAAAGGTATTGTTGTCCTTTACTTTGCCGATATGAGTAACTGGGCAGTAAGCCGCCTGATGCACCTGTTACGCAACGCGGTAAACGCTTACGATCGGGTAAGTAATGATGGGAGCCTCTGCTTGTCTCTCTAACGGCACTTGCAGTTTCTGATGCTAAATCAAGAACACCTATAATTGGTTTTGTTACCGTACCCACAAGACCCTTTCCCAAACCGCTCAGAAATCCCGGGAAACCGTCTGACAAGGCACCAACGTAAGTATGACGAACGATGCTTGTTACTCCCCCAAGTAGGCCAAAGCCAAAACCCTTTAAACCCGCTGCCAAATGGCTGCCGGTAGTTGGATATGTAACCTCCAATATTTTTTGGCGAGTCTCATTGTCGTGATCATCCAAAACAACCCTACCTAAACTATCTGATAACGTCTCTGTTAGTTTTGCCGTTGAATTTGATATGCCGTGGGTTACATTTTTGACCAAACTTTTAACGGAACCTTCAAATATTAATCCTGATACGCCCTCTGAAAGGTCATTAGCGAATCCTAAAGGATTCCCCAAAAAGTCTACACTTCCCAATATCGATGCTGCATGCCATTTTAATTGATTTATATAATGGACCTTTAACACCTTAAAATAAACGTCTAATGTTTCGAAATGATGCCTGTCAGAAAACTTATCAAATTCTATTAAAGCGTCTTCAAACTTGATTAACGTCAGACCAAGTGACTTCTTCATTTCGAAAAGCTCGGGTGATAATTTGGACGCTGTTAAAACAGTAAGTCGTACCTGCAAGCAAATAAAATTTCAGATTTAAAATTACTTTTTATTCAAACGAAGAAATGATAGAATAAATTACTCATCAGCTTAATTATTAAATATACTACTATTTCTAAATTGTAATTATTAGCTTATTTTACTCTTTTAGCATTGAATCAATGCGAGAATATCAAAAAAAAAAAAAATGCCCTTTTTGTTTTATAAAAACAAAAGCGCTGCATTTTCTACACATTGAATATATATACAATATATATACATATATACAATGAATATATATATACTTGCATATATATAAATATTTAATTTAATATCTTTAAATAATGTTTTACTTACCTGGGTTGGTCCAATGACCAAGTTTTCGAAATAAAATCGTTTAGCATTTTTCGAAAAAGGATACTCATCAGTTCGATAAACGTTACTATCTGCTTGTAAATGTTTCCGTTTAGTCACCCGTCCGAAGTTAAGAAAAACACCAGTTTTTAAAATCATACGTTCCTCTAGGCATACAATGCAAGGTTTCAAATCGAAAGATATATATTCAAATATAACCGCATTTTTATTAGGACTGGGCAATAATTTTGCTTTTAATACCACAGCTTCTTTTGGTAAATCATCGGCGTTCGATTTCGATGTATACAATAAAACGGGACATAGTGTGTCTAATAGTTGATTGTCTATCTGCAGATCACCAACTTTTAATTCCAATGATTTTGTAAAAGGCAATAAAATTATGTCTAGCATTATGTCTTCAAGTGTGATGTACATTAATTCTTCGCATGGTGAATGTGTTACAACAGATATCCCGAAACCTTTTACAAGTGTTAATTTTGCCTGAAAGAAGGAACTTTGTTGATAAAAATAATATATAGAACGAATATGTTTTTCGAGAATCAATATTTAATTAGACATTTTCATACTTCCACATAAAATCATTTCACTTGAAATCACTGACGATTATGTTGCATTCAGCTCATTAAGTGATTAATTTTGACCTATAAACATGTAGTTTTTGCTTATTATTCATTGACCGTTTAGTGAACAAGCGGGTTGTGCTTCTGGCTGCCTCTACCACTGCACCCAGATGACATACTTTATTCCATGTATAACGTTTTTATTCGAACATCTTGCTTCCTTTTCCATTGTTTGTCACGGGCACATAAAAACTTTTTTATGCATATGTTATAACCCCATGAATTTCAATATTTTATAATTTCAGTGAAATTACAATTTTTTCTTGATTTCATTTGGCATTTCTTTTATAACCATATCTTGATTGTTTGCTGAAATTACGGAAATGCCCGAAATCACTGAAATACCATCAAGGTTATCAAAATATAAGAATATTTTTCGATATAGATTCTTTCCATTAAAAGTATCTTTAAAGAAGTGTTCTTGTAATTTTACCTAGACTACGTTTATAGAGTATGTGTATATATAATTAAAGGCGAATAAAGAGTAAAATGGTTCTATATTCTTTCGAGCAATGACTACCAACGTCTTTTAAAAAAAATCTTTAAAAGACCGATTTGATATATTATCACAATGACTAACTTTGTATTCTTCATGTAATATGTAAAATGTAAACAGATAACATGAAATGATAACGGCGAAACTACACAGTGCGCTATACTATAAAAGTAGCACCAAGATTAATATAAGTTGATCGGTGCTCCCGTTCCTTTCTTATAGAATACGATGGACCTAGAGGGATAAAGCCGAGAAAACCCGTAATCCCGAGTATTAGTCGCACCATGCTCACCGCCGAATGATACTACCTGAGTAAGTCTGCTAACTGCGTACCTCAGATACTTGGCTAGCTTTGAGGAAGTATTTAACCCCTTTGAGATACAAAGACTTCGGCTCAAAGAGTTAGCTTTAAACTCAAGACATGTAGAAAAAAAAAAGAAATCTCAATCAATCCTCACAGGGACATTCGATTCAAACCTGCAGGGAAAAAGTTGTTGAAATGTCTGAAGAAAGTTCAGGCACCGGCATCATACCCACTAAGGAGGACCATGTTTTCCCAACCGAAGTCATTTGGTCGAAAACATGAGAAACCGAGAGTAGAAGAAGCTAAACCAACTTCTCAGGGACTCTCTGTAGGAACGCCCGGACGTGCAAAAGCTGAAAGGTACAACAGGTAGAGCAGGCCAAATGGAGCTGGCCACCGCCATCTCAAAACGTTGATAAAGAGCCCCATTGGCTTCGACTACGCATGTGGCCGCGTCGAAGTGACTAGCGCACCCCGCGTCGTGGCGACAGCCTGCTGTCGGTGGCACACGTGCTAGGACGGATAATTCGCCGTCCTATAATACCAGTAACTCTGCAAAACGTTCAGCGGCCGAAGATGCGAGGACCCACACTACAAGCGACGCTGCGGGTCAGACATCTGGCACCGCCGTATCTCGTAAAGAGATAGCAAAATCGGCACGACTAGAAATCATCCCAGACTATTTTCAAAGACGACACGGAGCGATGACTAACCGAGGTTAATACGTCGCCCTTTTTTGAACAGAATCCGCCCTGAAAAAAAATCGCATATAAAGCTTCAATCTCCTGGCTACAGTTTTCGACCGGGTTAGCTCATACTAACCTGCAAGCGAAGGGAGACGGCGGATTGGCTAATGAAAGCGGTGTCAACGCTAAAACTTTGGAAGAGTCGTTAAAGCTCTATCTAAGGACGAGATCCCCTTCCCATGTACTTGTTGAATACTTCACAAAATCAGGCAGTATAGAGCCGACACACAAACTAAATTTTCTGACGGGACAGAACAGAGGCTTGAATGTCAAGCACTGGAAAGTACTTCAGAAAGAAATCAGGAAAAATATGATGTTTACAACTCAGCAGTAGAGCTGAGATCACCAGTTATGGTCTTAGAACGGTGTCGCTGAGGGCCACTGGTAACTCTGCAGAAACCCGTAAAGCGGTGTATCTCCACACAGGAAGTCGTAGCCAACGACCACAGCAACGGAGTATACACTTTAAACAGAGGCTACACAGACAACATGGAAGAAACCGGCCGTCTCTTTGTAAAGACCCATTTCGCTTCACTGTTTGGAATGCAAGCCTGATAGAGCAAAGGTATTCATGGGAAACCTCCATGACACCGTAGCTTTGCTAACAATATCCTCAATGCTGACAGAACCGTCAACCGTCGGACCGTCCAAAGCACCTATATCAGATGAAATTAAGCCCTGTCTACTCTAATGGGACACAAAAAGTCTTCTTCTACAATTAGTAAAGCTTTAGAAAAACAGCCCTTCGGACAGACTATACGCCACACTACCGGAACAAACCGGAAGTCGTCTTCATACCAAAATGAGCGGCGCCTGCCAAAGTCATTCAGACCTATTACCCTTAGCACTTTGCTTCCCAAAACCATGGAGAAAAGCTAAGACAATATAAAAAGTAAGTCTACTTAAAAACAACCACGCTAATTCATGAGAGCCCACATAAGTAACCCTTAACTTACTTGTTAATACTGGACCGCAGTGCTTCAAGTCCGATACTGCCTTGCCGATCCAGATTGACCATGCCAAAGAAATGTGGACAGGACGGCCAATTTGTAGACTTAGTAGCAACAGCGCAAAAATGGTACTCTGATAGTTCGAAGCTGGGAAATGGCGAAAAGAGAGTGGGCATGCGCGGATTCCAAGTAGCTATTCCGCTTAAGAAGGCAATGCAGGAAAGAACTAGCTTGCATTCATTCCATGGTTTAAAGGCCCTATGAGCTTGCCTTGAAGAGTCTTCAAGCCCTGTACGAGCTACGGGCGCGCATTGATGTGGACCTAAGGTGTGTACCTCCACATTGGGGCATCGAAAGGACTGACTATTTAGCCTATAAGAGAGCACAAAGGACTAAGTTAGGTCCGATATTTTTTGTAACGTACGAACAATCATATCAAGAGCTTGACATGGCAACGGCCGCAGAAAAAATCAGAACGCCATTGAAAGTAGAATATAAGGCGAGTAAAAAGATTTATAAAATCTTCCGCACACAAGTTAATAGACCTATGGAGGAGTGGCATACATCCAGTAACTTGCTTCCAGACGGATGATAATTCTCTCATGTTTCATCTGGACAATATAAGCACCGCGAATACTGATTTCTGCAGATTTTGTGAGGGGGCATTGGAAAAGGCCTATCATATCGTGTGCGAAAGCGCAGAACTTGCAGAATCAGAATTGGCGAAGATTTTATAACGCCAGACATCGCAGCTTGAGGGCTAGAGGCATGAGTGAGTACAATAGATCTTTTAGATTACGATACAGACTGCCCGAAATATTACAATTGCACAATTCATACAAATTAATCGATTTGCAAAAAAAGGAAGAGATATTCAAGGCTTCCTGTTCAAAAATTATGAGCCGCGAAATATTTGGAACAATTAATTACTAAGTATATGCTAATCGGAAGGGGTTTTAAAATAATTTTGAAAGGGTTACTTACCAAGCACTCATCTAAAAAGATTGTCTGCTTTTTATCAATTACGCCTTTGTTAAACACTGATGTATGATTCCATAAGGGATCTGGTGATAACGCAATTTTTTCCAGATTACTTTTAACGTCATGCATTTGTATGGACTTTATGGGACCGTCCATCTTACTATACACCTCAAGATGCCCGGAACCAGGTCGCAGCTTCTGAATTTCAATACTTTGTTCAAAGGGTATGTTATCTGCATTCAGTGTTCTTGAGCCATTGTCGCATCTACCAAGGACAGCTTCAGCGCCAGGCTTTAATCCATAAATTCCATTTAATGACTAAAAATCAAATAAATCAATCTGAAAATGTTGTGTCCATATGAATCTTATTCAGGGATGTAAAGGATTCTTCGATATATGTATATATATATATATATATATATAACCTTTGGTTGTCGAATAAGTCATATATATATATATGTTACTCCTGACTTTTTCAAGATAATAGTAAAATGCAAAAAATAGATACCTAAACTGCTTGTCTTAATTTCGACTCTTTTATGATTAATACAGACAGATTATATACCGTGTCACAAAAACAGTCAGAATATAATTTAATGACGAGGCGCACTAGTCGCTATCTGGCGGAGAACCTTTTAAAAGATACACGGTAAAACATAGTACAGAAAGTTTGAAGGAATAAATTTCGATTCAAAATTTATACAGAAACACATATGACGCGACAGAAGTCAAAAATAAAAATTATTTTCTGATTTATAATTTTGCTCAATACGTCTTTGCGAAAAAAAGATGATACCTCGCCTACCAACATTGCATCAATTTTCAACGTTTTTTTGCATAATTGATAACTATTGAGAAGTTTAAATAATCAGACACATGACTATAGTACTTAAGAAATAATGATTTTAAAAAATGATGCTGTTTTCTCTTCAAGAGTTTTATATTTACCTGAATGCACATGTTTGCATGGCACATTAATCTTCCGTCTTCGAAACGCCAAGTCTGAGTACTTGTTCTTTGATTATTTTGTGCTCGAACAACTAATCTTGTAAGCTCTGTGGGATTGGGCGGCTTTTCTAAATCCAAAACTAAACGGGCAGAAAAGCTTTCACTAGTTTTCGAATATTCTGTGGGCGGCGAGGAACCCTCATGCTCCAATTGCCCATATGAATTCATGAGCCATAGTTGAGAACGATCACCAGCACATTTTCTTGTTATTATGACACGCTTGTCCTTCACGCCAAGCACTAATTGTAGCGACTCTAAGGTCTTATCGTCCCCGTCACCGTTAGGCACAACGCAACGAAAAGTCTCTTTAAAGGCTATGTATATAAAATTAGCATAAGTTATACTCTTGGCGACATTTTTGTTTAAGGGATAATCAACACAGTTTCCACCGGGCGCTTCTATATGCAATATATGCGAACCCAATGGATTATCCAAGACGTAGGCGAGCGATGATTGCGGTTTAATAGATGTTCTCCAATGTGGTTCACAATATTTTTGATAGAAATATATTGGAACTTCTGAATAATTATCGATTCTTAATGGTGGCGGTAAAGTATGAGCATCGGTAAAATGTAAAAGATAGGTCCCACCATGCAAAATGACTTCTAAGCGTAAAAATATCATCTCACCGATATCGTTTCGAATATTTATATAAAGACTCTTCGTTTCATTCACTGGTAATCCATGCGACCAATGATAATACTCATTATCGGCAACTCGTACACAAAGTAGTAATTCTTGTTCGCAATCTGGCCAATGAAATGGAAAACTGCTTCCAGGTAGAGCAGTAATTATTCGTTCTAAAGGAGCTTTCCTCTGAAAATGCATTCGAGATTTAAAAAAACCCATTAACATAATTGAAAATTTGATTAATGATAATATTGAAGATACCAACGAAATTTTAGTTAATGGCAAATTTTGTTTTTATACCCATCACCGAACCATGCGATGTGCATGCATCTTCTCAGAACGTTCGCAACACCCAGAAGGAAGCATCAGAAACCCCACAATGTATATATGCAGAATCAGCATTCAATTTTAATCGATTTAAGCATGTCCGTCCGCCCATCTGTCCGTCAGGATTATGTCGTCTGTTGTAAACATTCGCCTGAAGGCAAAAATTAATCTATCAACTTCAAATTTGGTAAAAACATGGCAAGTTCTTGCACACAGATTGATATTGAAAATGAGCTGAATCGGTCGAAGGACACGCCCACAACACCACACAAAATGAGAACAGATCTGTTTTTCGAAAGGAATAAAAAATGAATTTCTCGCTCATTACTCATAAACTATATCAGATAAACGTACAAAAATTTGAAAGCATATCCCATGCAGGATGCCGTAGCACTTATACAAAATGAAGAAAGTTTATCACGCCTATCCAATATTATACTGTATCAAAATTTAATATTATACTGTATCTTTTTCAATAAGGCGCAGAAACAATTGCCAAAATCCCCACAAAGTAAATAAATTCTTGGCCAGTTTTAAATTTGGAATGAATCTAAACATATTCGTTCGCGCAACTGTGTAGTATTTGTGATAAACATTTTCTCGTTAGTGAAAATAAACATATCGCCTACAAATTTTCAAAAGAATTTGAAAATTACTTTTACGCCTACAACGCCTACACGCCTATGCGACAAAACGTAAAAAAAAAACAGGTGCGCCCACTCCATATTATAGAGCATGAAAATTGAGTTCTCTCACTTTTTTTGTCATTTTTAAGATAACGGTGATAGTTATAAACGATTGAGTTACGACCGAATACAATTTCTTTAGTTGTTTTGTTTCTTTTTTCTTTAATAAGCATACACATTGTGAAACACTTACATTTTCCCTGACATCGAACTTTTGAGCAAATTCCAATTTATACGAACTTCTATTGTGCATTTGAAAGCGAGGAGATAATGTAACAAATGTTGAGCAACAGTATAATCCCTTTCCTCTTTGAACATTGACTCCGATGACGTAGCTTATTTTTGATTTTTCTGCCTTTAAATCGCGAAATGTAATATCCTTATGAATACCAAAACTTTTGCACCACTGAAAACACAGAGAAGGAATTATTTAAGAGAAAAGCAAACGCTTTGAGTGGACGCTTTCTCCAAAAATATATGATTAATTGTCAATCCATTTTCATCACCATGGGAATGAAATCATGTAAAATATTTTCAACTAAACTAATTTGTAACAATTTCCTTTCATAGAATGCCAACTTACCGGATTATTGTTTCCATAACTTTTCCCTAAGCGAATTTCAAGTAACGGTGCGCCTTCTTGATCAGAGAATGAAAACATTAAAGGCGACACTTCACGAGCATGCTCATGTTCTTCAAATTGTCCAGACGCTGGCTGATTGGTTCCTTCCTGTCTGAATAATAGTGGCAAACCGGTTTTGTTTATGATCCATATAGGTGCACTAATGTATATTTCCATACCCTTGCCTGGCAGGGCTTGTATTGAAACACTTAAAAATAACTCTCTATTAAGGACATCTATTAATTTCAGTTTGGGCTCAACAGTGCCGCTATGACCCATCGGTATTTTCAACTGTCCTGAGAGTTTATAATTATCCAAAGTAATGGTCAAACAAAATGCTTCATTTATATCTACTGTGTATATTTCAATTTCTTCGGACGCATTGATTCTGCCATGAGTATGTCCGGTGATTTTAAACAGCAAATCACAGCAAAGTAAGTTTTTTAATTTGAGAGGCGGTATAATAACTATGGTGTGACCAGGCACGGAGCTACTTTCCCGAATTGGAAATTTGTCTTTTCTGATTTCTGTCAATATATGAAAAGTCGTTTTACTTAAAGAATAACATGAGTGAACATCTTGAATGACGTCCTGGGTGCATTCAGCCCATGAAATGGCTTTTGTACAAAAGCCAACACTTTCATTGGAAGTGCTACGGAGCAAAACATCATTCTTTTGATAGCAATTGTCGTCGCGATTAAGAGACTCATGCATTTCGTCGATTGATGAGACATTCTGGTCAGGCTTTAAATATATTAATGAGTCCAGGGATCGCAACGGTATACTTAATTTTTCAAAAGCTTCCATGCTCAAGATTGAGGATTCTTTTTCTGTTTGACCTTGCATACGTAAAAAGAATCTTTTGCTAGTGTTGTTTATAATGCTGAGCGCCGATCGAACAGTTATAAGTTTTTGCGCTGATCCAAACAAAGATATATGAAACACAATACGCGTTTTCTTATTGTACTGCGTGTCGAGAGTCGCGTAACGAAAAAATACACCAACTTTATCGATCGAAATCGGACCAATCAAAGTCCAACCATGTATTTGGACAAGTATTTGATGCATATTCAATTTGTGCGAGTCCAGATGTCTGAGTTTACTTTGCGGCCCAAAGTCAAATGGTATCACCTCATTGTGCTGTACCGATATCCAATTACACATTAAATCGTTTTGTGTAACCTCGGTAAGCGTTATACCTCCAGCTTCGGAATAAAAAATTTTAAATAACACCGGCTCCCCGGTTAAGTTTTTCAAAGCGAACGGCACGAACGGATGCCGCCGTTTAAAGTGCGCTGACGAATTTGTAGCTCTGCCAAAATAGTCTTTCATCCAATTTTTCTGCACAATATCGCAAAGCTCAATAAGGGTCGATGTTATATTTAATTTTAATATTTGCTTGCTGGTTACTTGCATATTCAGTCTTTTTAAAGGGATAGTGTTCGAATTTGAGTAATGCCAAGTACTGGTGCATTCCCATGGCTCGATAATTGGTTCCCAACCGCTAAGACGACGATTATAATAATCACTGGCAATTACACTCTCGAGTTCACCATCAAAAAATTTCGTTAAATTGGAATCGTCTACAATATGCATTTTCTGAGTGATCATTAAACGTGACAATGAGAACTCTAGCAATGGCACATCCGCATCCAAACAATCGTCGATTATACAAACAGATATGCAATTCGCATTCAATGTCGCGCTATTTATTTTGTGAGCCTTATTTACTGATTTATTTTGTTTCTGCTGCGACAGCCACAGAGCTGCCTCATTTAAATTATAGTTGCACATTTCCATTGCTGCCCAGCATTCACTCTGCTTAAATCCCATTGCGACAAGGGGCGCAATTTTCTCAAAGTCATTGCAATTGGCTTGTAGTATGCTATGAGCTACAGTTTGTTTCGGAATAGATCGCATCATTCTAGTAAACAGCATAACGTCATTGTACGATACCCTAATGAATAATTGATTTTGTATAGAAATTTGGAAACAATTATTTCGCAGCTCCATATTCAATGTGAATGGATCGATGATGGAAAGAGAGCTTTCATTTTCGCAACCAAGTATACACGAGAAGACTTCTAAATGATTAATATCAATTGAAATCGGCACAATATTATTGTTGGGCTTGTACGATAATACCGTTGTGCTTTTCAACGTTATTGCGTTCGTATCAATTACTTCAATATTCTCTACAAACACAATTTCCGAATTTGTTATATTCAATACAAATTCGTACTTGGTATTTTCCTCAGATTGTGCTTTAGAAAACATGTGCTGCTTTATGGATAATCGATTCTTCCAAACTGGTTCGGTTACCGAACTCATATACGGTTCCTCTTTCAGGAAATTTTTTAATTTTTCCAAATAATCTAAAATCGCCATAATTCTCATATTATTTAACATAATTGTATATTTTGAGGTTCCGTTACGTTTTCGACTGTGCACTTCAACTTGGACAGTGTCTTTCATCGCTCCTTCAACCGATGGTGTTAAAATATTTTTGAAAACGTTCTTTGAAGTGTTTGTCGCACAATCGCGCACATCGGTAATTAATATTTCGCTCGATATCAAATCGATATCTTGTGAACTATCGCTAAATGAATCAATATAAAGTGTCGATTTAATAAATTTAATACAAGCTAGCGGAGCATTGCCATTTCTATTGTTTGTATCTGTTGGCTCCGCTAAAAATATGATAACATTTTCCAATAAAAAGCTAATAGACATAGTATTCCATATTGATGTTGGATTTGGTGGAGCATTAACCTTTGTCAACGAATTAAGTCGTTCGATAGATTCACTTAGATTTACATGATAATTATAATACACATCATCAATTGTCTCACCCAGATTATAGTTCAGAAAACCTCTGATAAGTTTATATTGTTTTAATTCAAGCAAACCATTTAGCTCCGATAATGTACCTTTGACGCTAATATCCGGAATATTGTGCGTGATGTCACATTCCGTGTTGCGAAAAACTTGAAGTTTCAAATGGCACTTCTCCTTAAATATTGTGTTCCCGAGATTTATTACACCGCAATTACCTAAATGAATCGCGCTATCCGATCCAGAGACCGGTAATTGATACTTCCGATTACAAGATTGCCATTCGCCAGTTAATAAGTTTATGTTAACTAAATCAATATTCATCAGATCAACGATTTCATTACATTGATCGCCATCATTCAACTTTTCCACCAGAGGAGGCAAATCCTTGGCGAAATAAAAACTATTAATCAGTGTAAACTTTCCTAGATCCACTATTAATAGATGACTGCTATGATAGGAAACCGGAAGTAACATAATCGGTGATTCCACATGAATTTCTAAACCCATTCGCAATGTATTTGTAATTTTATCATTCGCATCGTGACTTTTTATTCGCCTCAAGACTGGCTGAAATAGATCAAGTTAATCTTATTGCATATAAAAATAAAAAAAAGTTAAGAATATTTTGAATAAAACAAGTAAAAATATTATAATCGGCCACAGTTTATCGTTAAATGCCCTAAACCACTTTACCTAATAGAGGTATTCACATAAGAACATTTCAAAATAAGGCGTTGTATGGCAAGTTGTCGAAACAATAATCCCATCCGAACTATTTTCAAAAGCGTTCATCGATCTACCGCATTTCATCAATATATCTTAAATATTGCGACCGGCAGGTTTAAACACAAGAATAAGGGCAGATAAACAAGTAATCATCTTAGATCGGTTCAGAAATTGATTCTGCATCGGTTGATATAATAAAAGATGAGTTAATCGTAGCTCATTCTTGGTATATCGACATATACTTAATATAACCTTGTATCACAATGTAGGGTATAATAATTCAATCCAGATTTTATAAGAACTCCGAAATGTCAAGAAAATTTTATATAGAGAAAGTAAAACACATATTATAAATGGAAAATTATATTGAAACTCATATTATTAAAGTGTTTCTCCTCTTCTTGAAGATTTCTTGAAAATTATTTCAAAAGAAAAGTTTCCGTATATAGCAATTAATTTTTAGTATATCGAGAACAGGATACTACAGCCATATAAAGTCACTTTTAAGAATACAATAAATATGATCCGCCATAAGGTATGCTTCGATTAACGATGAATAAAAAGTAATATTTTCTCAAAGCGTTAAAACTGCAAATTTTCTGGCAAGGATTTATTGGGTGTATTTATTTTGAGGTTGAATAAAACAAAACAAAAAAAACCAAACTTATTTACCGATTGTAGCTGCAACAGTTCTTTAACGAACAAAATGAATTCCATAATGAATCTTTTAGTGTGCACATATTTTACAGATGACATGTGAATCAATAGCTGCGCATTCTTTTCCAATGATCGCACTTTTTTCGCATTAGCTTGCATATCACTCGTTCTGTAAGAAAACCGGGAAGAGAAAAAAAGATTTATTATAAAAGAAAATGGTTTCTTTACACGGCCTCCACGTCAGCAGGAGGCATTCCTTTCAACAGCAAGAAACGGGGATGAATACAACGCAGTTTTATTTATTTTTTCTTTTGTTAGCTCACAAAACATACTTTTGCATAGAGCAACCAATGCCTACATTTCGCAATTGAATTTCATTGATATAGTAACACATATCTTGGAACTCATACCTGCACATAATATACAAATAATGATTAAACAAGCTGGAATGAGTTCCTCTTCGAGGTTATTTTTATTGCAAATATCAATATATGTCAGAACATCTGAGCAGAATTTATAAGCCAAAGATGTAATTCCGTTCACGAGACAGAAAGAATAATAGACAACCTACAAGTGAAGAACGAAGAAGGGCTTCTAGCCTTTTAATATTGGGAGGCAAATTACTAAACAAGTGACGAGGATATCGATGCTGATATTTCTGTAGAAAAAAATAACGGTAACGTTAACGATATTTTTTAGGATATATATGCAGATATCTTGAAAAAGTAATATGCTGTTAAAAATACTTAATTGTTATAGCACAGAAAGACTTGATTGTTAGCAGTCTGCTAGAAAATTTCATATTACAAACATTACCCGACAATACTCGAAAAAGTAAATTTTTAAAATATATCAATACGAGCCGAGCCGTACGTAGCAGAATAATCAAAAATAAGCTTTTGATGAAATTATGGACGTAACGAAAGATCCGTCTATCACAGCCGATGACTGTAGCCAATGTAAACACCGCTTGCTGCACTGTAGGCCGGAAAGATTGTGGTGTAAAAATTCGAATCGATCTTGTATCAAAGGCATTTTGGCATCGGCTTTTAAAAGTATTTAATTTAATTGTTTTACTTGCAAAATTATGATCTGTAGCGACACGACTAGGGAGATCAAGCAAAGAACATAGAATGCTTTTGGTTTTGCAATATACGCAGCGCCGTCATTTCATTTCTAAAAAATTTGAATGAAATTTCTTGTTACCCTAAAATTGCAAAAGTACATACCTATGTTAAATGTCGAAAGACAAATAACCTTTTTACTATGCTATAGTAACTATAAACTAAATCTAAAGGATTGACCTTGCAATAAATCATAATTCAAATCTAGGCATTTTTACTTTTTCGGATGGGTCGTTCAATATGAATGGGACAAAAGGACTTTTACTTACTTATAAGAGAAACTTAATGCTTCTGATCCTGCTGTTGAAAATTTCTCTGGATATAAATGTCCGTAAGGTGTTAAATCATATATCGAAATAGATCCCAAACGACCATCCACTGATTGAGCGCCATTATCATTTTTAATCTTAAGAAACGCATTCGATACATTAGCCTTAGCTAACTCTCTTTCGCTTCGTACTAATATTAAATTTAAACAGTTAACTGTGACCAGCAACTCGCGTGCCGACATTCCTGTGTCTAGAAATCCAAAAAAAAAAAAAAAAAAAAAAAAAAAAAAAAAAAATGAAAGAAAAAGAAAGAAAAAAACAAATGAAAACATTATAGTCGGGCAGATAAGGGTATATTCATGTGAGTTCGTATAACGGTGAGAGGGACTTCAACATGTGAGCTAATGTGGTCAAATTTAGCAAAATTAATTTCCTTATCAAAATAGTACGAAAAAGTGGACGTCAGACAGGCGGACGGACAAGCTTAAATCAAAGACAAATGAAACACATAATGTTTATTAAATTAAGCGCACATGCGGTTGCAATTCAGCTCAAATCAGGTCAAATATCAAAATGCCTTGGAATTTTTTGGCAAAAGTTTAACGCGTCCTAATTGCATGCAAATACGACTAACTAACTTAACATTTTAATTGTTTAATTGCTTTCAACAAATATATTGCAGTACTTACTCTTACTCTTTTGCTGCTTCGGATAACCGTCGCTTTTCGTTTCATTAGTTATTAATCCAAAGAAATCGAAAATCATGAACCATTTCTCGATTGATATAATTAAATTTAAACAACTGAAATCAATAGAACTGCTAATCCAATCAGCGGTCTCAGGCTGTGTTGCTTTTATTACTAATGCTTTATATATTACCAGATTATCTGTTGTCTTCTTTGATTTTATTTGGAATTCATCAATTTCTTTCAATGCCTTCACAATTTCGTCTCGGGATTTCAGATATTTGTTTGATTTTTTATTGAGATTTGATGGCATTGATGCATTTAAATCAACCCGTACATTTTCATGTCTCGCTATATTTGGACATGAGAACGACAACTTGTTGTTGATAAAGTGTTTAGCTTCAGATCCAATTTCATTTGAAGAGTCCACCATATTTCTGAATTTGGAGTCTGATGAACATTTTAAATCCTCCATTAGTATCGAACGAAGGAACACATTTAATTCCCTTTGAGTGCTTGTATCATTATTCTCAAAACTGAACTCTTGAAAAGTTATAAGAATAAGTGGAACATTGTGTTCATTTTTCAAATCTAACTTTAATATTGGAACTGAAAATTGTACGCTCATTTTCTGCAAGACTGACGTCTTGTTCGAACTATCTCTTTTAGGTTCTTCGTCACTTGACTTTGCCTCCTTATTATTGTAATTTATATTCTCTTTATGTAATACCACTTTTGTACCATAACTGAGTGCATCGCAAAGTTGTTCATATTGCGATCGTGATAATGATATATGAAGATTTTGCGTAACACTGCCTTCAATCTGGAAAAAAGAACAAAATTATTATACATTTATTACATGTGCCTGTATGTGGAACTGTAAAGAATTTTCAATGATCAGCTCAATTCCGCAGCATGATTGCAAGCAATTTAGTAAGTAACACATTTTCATTTTTGTTTACAAATTTCCGATGCTATTGATTATATAATTTAAAAATTCCGATTGCTCAGGAACGAACGTACGTACATTATGGTACCTGCCGAGCCTATTGTTCATTTTTATCACCAACATCAAGCGAGACATTGAAAGAGCAAGAATGAAAGCTAAGGGGAAACACTTAACGGCTTCTTCTTAAGAACAATCAATACAAAATTTAATTTCCAAATATTACCAAACATCTAATGCCACACAATGATAATGGCATCACGCAAATATGCGAAAATGGCACATTTTGCTTTATCAGCTGCTGTCTTTCATTTTCTGCAAGTCCTGTAAATCCTATCCATTTTTTAATATGAAAGAAATGCTTTACTGGTATTGTTTATTGTGTTTGATCGAATCTGTTTCGAAAACCAATTACCGGTACATAGGTGCTTTTTCTCAAAATTAACAGAGAGAGAGATAGAGAGAGAGAGAGAGAGCAAAAAAGCGATGAAAAAGTGACCAAAGTTAATCCAATTAGCCTATTCCGGCCGATATCTGCTCGTCTATGCAAAAATCACTAAGCAACTCGATAATGATATTTACTAAGCTGGCGTTGTTGAATTGAATCTAACTGTCAGGATTTGCCAGTTAAGTACCCTATAAAAAATATCGATGGATTCTCAAATCATGACATTTTTGAAATAGTTTGCATCTCGTGACATATATTGATTTTTACATTCCCTATGCAATTGAAAAGAATTAAAAAAAATTATTTTTTTTTGTATATGATGTCCTTGCACTCTTAAATATGCATATGCGTATTGCAATCGAAAGATGGAATCATACGTAATACTTACCAAGAATTTATACTCATAAGTCCATTTTGTATCAACTTTAACTGTTTTTGATTCATATATACATTGAAAAATTAAGGCGGTATCGTACAAAATAGCGACGGCATCATTTTTACACGAATAATATTCGTTTGCCTTCGGTAAGATATTTATCTTTAGTTCCTTTCGTTTAGCCGTGTTTAATGAGAACAAATTAATATTTCGCACATCTATGAAATATGTATCCTTAGTCCACGAATCAATTTTAGTATTTCGGCATGCTACAGTTGGTGATTCTATATACTCGCGTTGATTACAAATAGTAATTTTACCCAAATTGGCTACTAAAACATCGGCACTTTCACAAGACTTCGGTAAAACTAATACTGGACTGCTTAAAACCACGTCGAGTCTTAAAATATAAATAGAAATACGTTGTGATCAAATCAAGAAATTAACTATCATTAATTAGATGCATGCATGATTATGCATTGATAATTTCTTTTCAATTTAACAATATCTTTTTACAGATATACATTGCATTCACAATTCAATTTATAGTGTAGCATATAAGATTACAAACTCTGAATAATCAGAGAATATATTTTATATATGTGTACATATTGTATCATATATATTTTAATATCTATGTATGTGTGTGAATAGTGCATATATTCAATGCTTGATTGTAAAATAAAGGGAAAATACATACAGCTACGATACGTTACAATACACGAATATCTTATGTTTGAAAACATGTTATCATAAAAGTTAAGAGCATCCCGAGTACATAGCGCGAACCGGACAAACGAAATAACACTATCAACTTACTTATGATTAGATACAAATATACTAACACTAATAAGCATGATAATTGAAAGAAGTTATCAAACACACCTACTATGCACTATTTTAATTCAGATTACCCCTAAACAAATAAGTTATCACATACAGAACAAAAAAAAAGAGTATAAGTATAAGTCAGAATAAATTATTGTTAGATAAAAGATCATAGTGCGTACAATCGGCTAAGTGCCCTTCGTTAGATTATTTTCGGTGTTTTTCTTTTTATCTTCGTAGGAAATCTCTCGGTGCATAGTTGTTATAGAAGGATTCCTCTTACATATGCTTCGTCCTTTGGTTTGTTATTACTTCGGTGACTTGTAGCTATCAAGGTTTAAGCTAAACACAGCTAAACACCATATAAAGTAGCCCGTCACCTCTATACATAGCTTTCGTAAGTATGTGTGAGCGGCGGATCTCATTTTAATCCAAAGTGTAAATTAATTCACATGGAACCAAAGCCGTAATTTACCACTCAATACGAACATTGTCATCGTATCATGCATTCACATATTATACTTACGAGACATCTCCTTTGACCTTCTTTAAATTATTGGAGCTTATATGCTGCACAAGACCCTTAGCCATATGTGTTGCTTTGTTGCGAAGGGATTTTAGAAAATTCCTTTTGAAAATAAAATCAGTTCCAATTTACGATCAATGTTAATGAATTGAAATGAATTTCGATTTGTTGTACATACTTAAAATATTGTTTAAATTCCTTTACGCAAAAATAAATCTCTTCGATGAATCTAGGACAGTGTGTATACCAAACAGATGCCATTCGAATTGTTACTTCAACTGAGGCATTATCACAGCGATTGATTTTAAAATGCAATGCGTTCGGACACTGACAATCAATTTCATGTGGACCCATACCGTATAGTTCAGTTGTAAGTGAATATAAAACGTCATTTTCACATGCGTTCGGATTATCTGTTAACGGATCCTTTCCAACGGAAAATATCCTTTGATGGTTTAAACCTTCTGGAGTTATATCAATTATTTGTATGCCACCCAATTCGCCTGTCACGTATGTCTGTTTTCCCAGTGTTGCATGGATTTTTGCTTCGCTCATCGTAAGCGTTCCAACTTTGCGACCAACACACATTGCTTCAGATTTTGTACTGCGTAATACTAATACATTAAGACGATGAAAGTCAAAGCTAATTTCCGTTCTTAATTGTTCATAAGATTCGGATTCAGGGACCTCAGCACCATTTAAGCTATTATATTTGTTTATGGGATTTTTTTGTAACAATTGTCGACTATCCAAAATGCGTTTTCCAAAGCCAAATAATTCCATGATCGTTTCTTGATTCGCTGCAAATAAATATTTAAGCGAAAAATGCATTTTACCTTCAATTCAAAAATTTATGGCTTTAAGAAACAAGAGAAACTCTTAAGTGCAATATAAAAATAAAAAAAAATAAAAAATTAAAAATTTTATCCTATAATAAGCTATTGGCTCTTAGTTGAACTTTTAGCTTAACACAAACAACGAACGGAAGAATGTCTCTTATTTATTTTTATTTAAATTTAGTTACTTACCGATAACATCCAAATTGTTAAACGTTATATTCACAATTTGCAGAGGCTCCCCATCGGGTGTAGATGGTATAAAGTTTACGTCGACAATTATTAGAGCATCGCCAATACCATGCTCCCTCCCTTTCACTAAGGTGCAATTTGATATTAAAGTGAATATTAATTAAATTATTTAATAGATGACAAGTAGTTATAAATTGAAATTTTAATGACATCGATTTATTTTAGGAGAAAAGAAAGAGCAAACTACGCTCTTTTTAGGACATACCTAGTAAAATACTATCATTTAATAGCAGTAATGTAATAAAATTTTGAAATTTTCAAATCGTTTTCCAACGTCGATTCGCAATCGGAAGCAAAAACTTTTCAGAGATATATAGATATTTTATATAACCCAAAAGTAACACTTACTAACACTTACACATTTCCTGCGTTGACTAAGACAGAATTTGTTGAAACTACATGTATTTATACCACTTGTCATATAATATAACCTTCGTCTCCTTCTAATACTACAACAATAGCCATTTCGAACAAAAATTCCACATTTAAAATACTAGTTGCTTTATCTCAATCTGTAAAAGGAGGTACACATGCTGGATATTTATCTATCTTTGCCTTTTTGAGAATTTGCAAAATCCCATTTCGCTTAATTCAAACTGATACGCTAAACAGATTTCTACATACATTATGGCATCTCCGTTACCCAATCTATATCAAAGTTTAATAGCGAGTATAATACTATGAGTGCATAGAATGTAAATAGAAATAATGCAAATATACAAACCTGACTGTAAACATGTAATAGCTCGATCAATAGCATTCACGTTTGTAGGATATTGATTTACATTAGGGTCTGGAGAGCCTGGTGAAATAGGAGAGCATGGTTCACTTTGCTTAATGCTTCCAGATATACTGTCTATTCTAGAATATAATCAAAAAAAAAAAAAAAAAAAACAAAAAAACAAAACAAAAACAGCATTTTTTATCTATCAATCGATTATATTAAACAAAACTCGGAAGTCGAGCTCAATAATAAATACTTAAGGAAAACCCGAAGACGATTTAATTGTGACAGAATTGTGCAGAAATTCTATAAGCAATTAAATTGATTTTTGATTTAAATTTGCAGCAAAAGTGTAATTAGTGCTTTTATGAGGATCGGGCAATGCAAACAGTACTCGAAAGGATCTTGAAAAAGTCGATGACAGTAAGTTTTCGCCAATAGATTAATAAGCTTCTAATATAAGATGGAATTCTGCAGCTGCGAGTTAAGTGAAGAAATTATCACTTGAAACACACATAACATAACACACATGTGTAACTGCATGCATTCGGTATAAGGACAGACATTCTTTATTTTCCTATTTAAAGAATTAAAACATAAGTCGTTTTTGCTTAATAAAGTAAAGTAGATCATCATCAAAGTTTTTTTTGAATTACAAAATAAATTATAACCGACTTTTTATATTACAATATGAATGAATCATATCTTAACTTAAGCTTTTACATATAATTGACATTCAATCGTCAATCGGATTGTCAATTGTCTTTAGCACCAGTTATATGCGACATAAGTCCGATAAAGTATGTACATCAATTATATACTTGCTCAACCTCTTAGAAGAAACAAATACTTGAATCGGTAACACTCACACAATATATGTAATAAAACTTGCCACTTAGCGAATATAAAATTCACGCTTAGATTTCTAACTTATAGTTGTGCTATCGAACTTACTCAACATGGCGATGACTGGCGACCAAGAGCTCAAAGTCGGAACCAAATGACTGAATAGCGTCGACAAGTAAAAGACCGTGCACGGACATATTAAAATTCAGCTCCTCTGCCTTTCGGGATATAGACATTTTAACACCTATCACTTGAAGTTCAGCTATACTTTTTAAATGAGATTGCATTTCTAAAATCATTTGCCCAATGACAAATTGAAAAATTGTTGTATTGATTTCCGGTTCTTGGATGTCTTCGGGATCAGGAGTAACATCTTTCCACTGCGTTCGCTCATCAATTGCATTTTTAGACAATTGAAAAACATCAAAATTAATTGGACAGATAATTTTTAAACATTCGGTTATTTTCTGCTCGTTGACGTGGGCAACAATTTTTGGAAGATTTCCGAACAACGTTAAAGACGGATATTCCGGATCTGACGTCACAATTTTTCTCCTTTCCAACTGAAGCGATATATTAAATTTGTCCAACAAATGCACATTAGACGACGTCTTCGAGCAGGCAAAACCACATTCACGATTTTTGCAAACAATCACTTGTAAGTCCGTGAGATTTATTAAATATTTATCATAAATGTCATTATACAAAGCACTTTCCAAGTTAGTATCATTGTTAATGACGAATTTCGAAAAGACCGATGAATCGTTGACGCAAGTTGGTGAACCCGAACGACTTATTTGAGATCCCGGTGGGGTCGAACATGGTGTCATAAACATTTCTTCCTCGCTCTCATTACCGGCTTTCTCAATTGTCTCGTCACGTTTCCTGGGTCTATCGTTTTTAATGAGTTGGAAGCGACCGAAATCCACTAATACCACTGATGTGTTTTTCTCTCTAAAGTTTTCGACAAATATTATGCGGGGAGCAAATATATCTATTTCAAAAGACCACTTCTTTTGATAGTCCTAAGAATAAAAAACATATTATTTTTACTTCACAGATAGTCAAGAAGTTTTTTCTTTCTCTCTTTTACCTTTTGGGTCATAAACATGTTTTTAAAATTTTTAAAAAATTTTAATCGAGAAGAATTTTCAGAATCATATATCCGTTGCTTTACTCTTCTGTCGTTGAATGGCTTGGCAAAAAATGATATTAACCACTTCCAGGTGATCTCGTTATAAACAACATCTAAACTTTTCGATTTAATAACTAAACGATAGGCAGACACGTAGTCGGAAGGGCTCCTCTCATATTGCATTTGAAACCACGGTTCATTTTCCGTTTGCATACTCAGCTTCTTTGTGAACACTTGTTTGAGGTCGTTGTGCACGGATTTCGTGGGAATAATATTGCTTTGCGTCTGTGGTCTTATCAAATAAGGAAATTCGGTTGGGAGTGTTAATTTATCATTCAAACTGACCGAGCCCAACGAAATTCCAATTCTATAGGAACTTAATCTAGGTTTTATTTCTATAAACGACATTAATGCTTTGAATTCCATATCTAGAACCGCGCCTTCATTGTCGCAATTATTTGCTGCTAGTAAAATCTGACCATCTGATAGAGTAAATGTAAAATAGCCAAAGACGGCATCTCGATTTGAAAATGCATCATTTTCAATTGTCTCTTTCAAGGCAATTAGAATATCATCTTCAATATTTTTGTAAGTTTCATCATTGGCAGTCGCTTGGTTACCGTTGTCGGAACCAGAGCTATACCAACCCCACCAGTTAGGGAACCAATGAAACAGAAGACCTCTGCCTTGATTCGCATTTCGATTTCGCAATAATATACCTTTGCAGGAAATGTGCTCGCAACAAACGTCTCTTAAAGCTTCCAATTCGTTTAGAGATTTCGCTTTTTCCATGTCTGCTTTAAATTGCTTGTCGTCCTTTGTCAATTTTTCATTCGGATTTAATAAGAGACGTTTGTATATTGAAATATAACGAAGATTTTCTTTAACCACTAGCCATTTTTCTGTACAGCTCCGAAAACTGAAACCATGGCATTCTAAAGCATACTTCCACCATATTTTCACGTTACCCTTGACCGGACATTTGGGTCGCAACATTTTAAAGGCACGCTCTCGCTTTAAATTCTGTAATCCCGTAATAGATTCAATCATCTCTGTATACTGCACCTGAAATCAATATTGATACAAGCATTATTTAATGTAAATGAAAATTTGAATAGAATATCAAAAGTAATAAAAGTAGAAAGAAAAAGTAACCTTATGTATTGATAGTATTGCTTTTCAATTTCGAATTCATTGAAATTCATGTAAGTGCGACAAAAATTTCTATAAGACAAAGTGTATAATTTTCAAATTTCATTTTTCATTTCTTACAAAAATTTTCTCAATTTTCTCCGAAACAGCAAATAGAATGACTTAAGCTCACTAGTTACGGAATATTTAAGTTTATGTAAAATGTGGTTTGTACGTTTTTGGTAGATCACAGTACTTACTGCACTTAACGAAATTTTTACTTGCTGAACAAAAACGTCACATGAAATGCGTGGACGACCTTTGGTACGTATTGGATGTTTACACAATTCGCGTTTAAATTTCGCTGCTGCATTAATAGGACTAACGAAGAATGAATGATCTTCTGGTTTGCACAAATCATTCATGTTCTCTAAAAGATTTTTTGAAAGCAATTTTGTGCACATATTGTTGTCATGTAGGCGATCCCAATACACAAGCAAATCTCGAAGCTCTAACAATTTGTAAGAAATAGTTTGATTATTAATGATTTTCGCGCCAGGTATCCAACTACCATCACAGCTTTGTGCGGTGAGTGATTTAATACGAATGCCAGCAGTAAAAGGATAACCGGGAATCGTCAACGAGTCTTCGTATCGCAGATGAACATCATTAATATTAAGTTCCAGATTTTCTAATATATTTGTGGCTAGTGTGGCCCCATAATTAAGCCAGGTCGAGTATGACGATGAATAATACGTTTCTATATGGCAGCCGTTCTCGACTCGCCAATTAGCGTCCTTTGCATCTAGAACGCTAACTTTATATTCATATTCTTCATTACACTCTTTTTCATCATCCCATTCATTCAAATCCTTCGCTCCAAAAACCCCATACACTCGCTCAATAGTAATACACCATGGAGATGAACGAAATTGCCGGACAGGTATTCGCAATTTAATTTTGCCTATACAACCGGACAAGGCCTGAACAGGAATTCCAAATGATTTTAAAGCGTCTTTTCTAATAGGAACATTTTCCAATTCGACTTCGCCTGTAAAATAATATTACATTAAATTAATACATTCTATTACAAAAACTTATTTAGAAAGGTGAGTTCCAACTGAATGAACAAATCCATCTACTAATGAAAGAAGATAAGCCGGCCTTTTTGTTATGCAGTATCGTAACCACTGCTATCTTTTTTTAGCCAAAGTATCCAAAATACAGTATCCTGTATACATATATATATATATATATACAGTATATATATATATATATATATATATATATCATCAAACGCTGGCATATTTAGGAATTTTTGCAACATAAAACAAGTATATTCTTCTTTCTTTTTTTTTTTTTTCAAAAACACATCTAATACATAAATACATCACTACGAAATTGCACTACAGTGAAGTTAATATGTAGACATGTACGTTTAACAACTGAAATTGGCACATTCTCCATGTATTTTCGTTACAAACCTGATACAAGAGCTATTGATAATTGAGCAGGATTAAAATCCTCTAAATATTTCCCGAGATAGGTATTTAGGACCCATGTTATGAGTTCATTTAACATAATTACGACTTGGATGTTTTAAAACTGTTCTCCGCTATTTATTATTTCCATTGAATTTCATAATTCATCTGATAATAGTATGTAACATATGTGTGTAATCATATGTATGAGTAAGTGTTTTTAAATCAATATCGGCGATGCCAGATGTTTATTTTTATTGTACTCATTTACTTCAGGTTTTTTTGAATAACTAATTATCGGAAATATTTTGAATAGATTAGATTAAATTTTGATAGAAGAATAAAAACAAAATGAATTTGAAAAATCAATCTTTGGAGTTTAATACATAGTTCTTGCTTAATAGACAAGAGCAACATATAATTTTTAGCACTATGCAATTCGCACAACAAATATTCATAGATATTATGTACATAAGAGGAGTCCTGAATTAAAAGAATTAGACAACAACTCAGGCATTAGAAATAGGTTTACCGAAGTAAACATTTTTAGAATTAAATGTTAAATATATGACCCAAATAATTATAAATCTCCATAGAATTATATATCATATAAATATTATTACACCCTAAAGCATTTATACATTAAATGTTCTTAGGCCTTCAACACAATGACGCATTATTCCGCTTTGAACCAGAAACCGTGCTACCATATTGTTTTAGAAGAAAAAATAAACAAATATATGCAAATGTAAACAAAAACATATGTTTTCACTAGGAAAAATGCATCAAAGAAAATAAATTTTGGACATATAAGCCACAAATCTATTGATTTAGTCTCTCTCCACTCAACAAACCAAAAAAAAAAAGAAAAAAAATCACTTTTATTGAGCAATTAAGAAAAAGTAGAAAAAAAGAGAGGAAAAAGTAGAAAGTACTAGGTAAGACCATGCTCTCAAATATAGGCATTTTCTCACACCAATTTAAATATATTTATACCAGAAATGGGTGGCAAACATATGGCTTCTGTTTGTACTTTTATTAATTATTCTAATATTTGAATATTACCAGTTAATATAATCCAGTTTAATAATACAACTTGACAAATATATTTAAAATTGAATATTAATCGCTGTTATTATCTTTTTTCGATTTCCTGGAAATTAGGAGAGAGTTGAAATATTATTATTCTTATCACTATTATTATTAGTCATTATTTTAATTAGTCTTGTTGATTTGCTGACTCACACAAAAAAAAGAAGAAAAAATTCTAATACTAAAATGTGAAAGCATTGAAATCTAAGGTTATTGGCTTCATTAAAAATTCTATCGCACTTGGGATTCAAACCCACAATCATTGAATTACTAGTCGAGATTCTTTGCCTTCGGTCACTCAGGCAGATGAGAGTTGATATAATGGAACATGTAATATATAGAATTAGGTAAATAGATTTTAAATTTGAAATAATTCGTTTTTATATCTTCTTCTACCTTTTTCTTCGCGTTTAATTTGTCTACATACATACAAGATCGTATGATCTGCCAATTCCCGTATGAACTCGTAAAAAGATACGAACATAAAGAATTTTCTCGCAATACAAGGCCTCCCTATAAGTGCACATGTACAAACAAATGTACGATGAATCTGCCATAGAATAATTTTATAGATAATGCTCGCTACCTTATGAGTAAGAAATAATACACAATTTGCTTAAATATACTTGCGTAAGGTAAATTTGTCGAATTTTGGTTTTGAAAATTTTAACAAAATTTTTTTAAAAACAAGATGATGACACAGCAGCCCTGCGAACAAAAAAAAACCCTTTTTATAGAACTTGCTTGATCTACAATAAAGAATTACAAAAAATTCTTAAGCTATTATCGTCCAATATTTGGTGGATAACGTAGATTTTTTTGAAGTCAATTTTGAGTCGATTTTCGAAAAACACTTTTTCTGTCTTTGCTGTTGAAAGCAAAAATTGAAAAATACAATTTCCAATATTGAATATAAACAAACGACGCGACACTATTTTACAAGTTTATTGAAATATGTACCATAATTCATATTATATAATATATGATGTAGCAGAGTTAATGGAAGTGTAATTAACATAGAGTTTTGTATATAAAGACTTTTCATAGTTGAATTGTGCGTCTACGTCTACGCTGTTTACATCATTGTTTTTTTCATTTTTTGCACATTCATTCTCATCACAATGCTAAGGTAGAGGAAAAAACATTAATGCTGCCCAAATTTGATTTATCTTAACAATGTCAATGTCAAAAAGTTCTTGATTTTGTGAATTAAAGAAAGAAAATGTATTTAATTAAAATACTTACTCCACAAAAATGTAACGCTCTACCCCACCACTACATTTAAAGACATATTCCTTCAATTTCAACGAGCGCCTTGTAAGTACAACTAATACAATATATCGCTTACATCGATTCTGGCCATGATAACTGCGCTTTATACCCGCTATTTGTTTTTTTTTTTTTTTTTTTTTGATTTTGGTCTATGAAAGTTTGGATCATATATCAATTAATTGCAACGAAATTTGTTACGATATTTCGATAAGGGAAGTCATGTAATTTCGCGAAACACTTTATCCCTCAATAGTAGTGATTTTTGTAGTCGTCAATGTTGAGTGGCAATAGACTGTCTGCAGAATGTTGGACATCGAAATTGTTAACTTCGTCATTTCGACAGCTTCGTATACGATGGCTATTAGGCTTCAAACTTATATTTGAGTCTACGACATGTCTTTTGGTCTTTACTTGGGTATACATCCGCCCGACTTGCCGAAGGTAAAGAATCTCGACTAGCAACTAAATGACCGTTCGTTCGAGTTTCAATTGCGGTAGAGTTTTTAAAAAACCCGGTATCCTTAGATGCTAGTGCTTTACGACTTTTAGTGTTAGAATTCATTGCATATAATAATAATAATAATAATATGTGGATATAAATATCCATCTCGACTGACAGGTCAATGGTCGTGGGTTCAAATCTCAAGTACGGCAAACTTTTCAATAAAGTTGATACTGCTCAGAAGCTGCTAATGCTTTAAGTCATTAATCTTCGAATTTACTTCGCTGGCTAAATTACTTATAATAATTATAATAAGTAAGAACATTACAGTTGGGCAAGGCCGACCATTCAATACTCTAAACCATATTGTCTAACACAATTCTTACTTTTATTATAAAATAGAGAAATTATATTTTGCTTTTATATAAAGGCATATTTTTCATGTGCGTATTTATAGGGAAGCGAGCCCAAAATGCAACCTAATGTAGTACAGGTTTAATCCTTACATAGGATAGCATCCAAAAATAGGCATTCAAGATCCAAATTCTGTAGAGTTCATTTTTTTTTGTATAAAATTGCAATAATATTATGAGTCAACCACTTGTTAGACTTTTCTGCCAAAAAATAGGCCGAAGTGGATTTTTGGTACAGTTTTGATACAGAGTTCATTTCTTATGTTAAATTTATGTTAAATGATTATATAATTTTCATCGTGCAGCATTGAAAATTATATCTTTTTGTCGTATGAACTTCAGTTTTGGTTATATTTGAAGGGGATCAAAAATTGGCCTAGTCTAAAGTTTTCATACCAATTTAGAATGCCGAAATACTACTACTTAGCCGAGAAACTTTAAAAATTACAATTTCTTTCCATCCAACAACTTTTCATAATAGGCCGTTATAAGGGGTGTGGTCCGAAAAGTGAACCGCGACTTATAGGCTGAACACAAATTTACATGGATAGACGCCAGACAGACAGACACGCTTAGAGCAATACAGATTTTCGGGTGGATCTATCTTAAGCCCTTCTGCGTGTTACATACGATCGCACTCAATTAATATACCCTGTACCACAAGTGGTGTACGGTATAATTATTTCTAAAGCAGCATGAAGGCCAATTCTCTGAATTCAAATCGATTATTCTTATTTCTTAAAAAGTGTTCAATTTAATACAATATACCCATTTTTTCTTTTTTTATAATGAAATATGAAAATGGGATTATCCACTCTAGAGGTAGCAGAGAATTCGGTAGAATCTTCTGGTAAGATTACTATTTCTATTATCAGAACAATAGAATTAATTTCTCTAACATTTATAGAAGCCTACAGTCTCAGAGTATCAAACCTGCTTTGAATGATTTTTCACTTGAATTTTGCTTTTTTTTTTTTTTGCTTTTATCCTAAAAAATTTTTATTAAGGCGACTTGAACACTGTTTTCTTATCTGAAATCCCTGTTATGCTCAGATAATTGTTGAAAATCAGTATGGATCCAAAAATTTTCTGCTACAGATAATTTTGTCGCTGCGGCAATGGTTTTTACAGCAGTTACGTCATTATCTTGGAATTTAATTGACCTTATTGCAATTTCTCTCATATCATCATCATGAGGAATGCTTTTAAGTTATTATATTGAATATTGTCGTCTCTCTCTCACGAAATCAAAGTAGTTTGTTATATAGGAATTTAGAATTTGTTTTAGCTTTTTTAATCATTTTTATTGGTATATCTTTGCTTTACTTTGATTCTTCTTCTTTACTAAGAATGGCATAAGATATTTATAACTATATTTAAAAATTGCAAACAACGTTTATGTGTATATACATAAAAAAATTGCAAAGAGTATTTATGTATGTAAGTTACAAACTTTGAAGACTGTCAAAAACTATATATATGTATATATATATGCACATAATTAAAAAATATAATGCTTTTAGCACGTACTACTTAATAATAATAATAATATTGTTGCGCAAATGTTATTAACGGAGTGTCCTGTTGTTGTATATTAATTTATATAATTTATATTTAAACATAAATAAATTAAATAGCTTTATTTATATAATAGCTTTATTATACATTTAAAATACTTTATTAATATATATAAAAATATATATAAAAGAAATTGTTATTCGTTTTAATGGTTTCCTGATTGTTTCCGATTCTTTTTTCCTTAATGTTTTTGAGACTGTAAAAGGAATTTACTAGTTGAAAAGGGCACGTAAAAGTTGTAGAGGGCGCTTAAAAGTTTGTGTCCTGAAGAATTTTTAAGAAATGCAATAACGGAAAATGGAACAAAACCGAAAAATACAACCGTGAAATAAAGATGGTTGTATTTGCTGAGATGAAATTAAACAAAACATGAAAATGAAACTCGATTTAAATACGGATTTTCAATAAAATGGAACATAGCAAAGGTAAGAAATAAAAATCTAAAGTTACTAGATATTATTATATTATCTTTATCTGAAAGTTTAAAAAAAAAGTTGCTTCTATGAAAGAAAAACCAACAGTCTTGCCGTATGTTACAAACATATAAATAATACACTGTATGATACTGCCGTATGATAAATTTAATGATGCAAGTACTGCGAGTAAGACAAAAGACATTTCTTGAATTCTGTAGCGCGCAACTACGTTAGCAGTAAAATACAAAGAAATAAAGGAAAAAGAAATTTCTATACCCGTAAAAATGTTTGCATGGTCGCATGTGAAGTTTATGTGTTTATATGGAATGATAAATAAATATAAAAATTGTAATTATGCAACTTTTATAAATGCAGTTATATTTCTAAGCTTATTTTTTAATCGGAAAGAAAAGGAGTGTTTTAAATGGATATTTACTGCGGATTACTGCGATGTATTGATTGAAGAAATTTTCTATCAAAATTCTCATTAACGGCAACGTTGGTAAAAATAGCTATTGTATTGTTGAACAAAATAAACTACTAATTATGGTATTTAAATTTTACAAATAATACATTTTGAGAATGGCAAGGAATAATAGTTTTCTTCCGCTACAGGAGACCAACTGGATTCAACTCAAGAATGCAGTTAAAGGTGAAAATTACGAGGAGCGGTATGCCGCACTTGTTACTATTAAGGATTCAATTATAGGGAGCAACAAACAGAAGTCTTTACTGATTTCTCATGAACTTGTTCCAGACATAATTCAAGTCTGCTGTGAGGATAACACCACTAATAAAATAGAGGCTTTGATTATTATAGGTAATCCTTGCCATGCTTATATATATATAAAAATATATATATATATATATATATATATATATGCGTGAATGCGTAAGTGCATACGCACAAGCATATATAAATATATATATATATATACATGTGCATATATATGAACATATATATGAATGCGTAGAGTATGTAAATCAAATCGGGAAGACAGAAGTCTTTCCAAAAAAAAAAAAAAAACGAAAGTGCTTTAACGTGGAATTCAGTTAAAAGTTGTTTTTGACGTAAATACTACGTTAGCCGACAAATCTCTGCCCCGTTTGCCTTTTGGTAAGCTTACATGAGTTGGACTTTTAGTGCAATATCTTAAATTTAAACTTTAAATTGCTTCAAAGGGCTATAGAAAATTTCGAGAGGAATGTAAAGATAAATTGGCGCTAAATCGATAATATTAATGAAAGTGAATTTACTATGTATTAATCAACAAGTGGAAAAATTATAAGTCATCATGATTTCGCGACTCATTTAAATTTCATAAAAAAGCCTTGGGGATGAAAACGTTTTAAAACCTTGACCATGAATTATTTTGCACAACTTAATACAGGGTTAATAAGAGTTACGATCAGGTCTGATTATTTTATATTTACCATAAGGAGTGGAATATATATATATATATATATATACATGTAAATATCATAAAATGATGTCTTCGAACTTCTGTATCTGTTGTATTGGTAGAATTTTCCGCTAAGGCAAACACGTGAGATTTAATAAAAATTAACAGGTGATGTTGTCAAATAATTCTGGTGATCTTATTAAATTGTCAAATAAGAGTACGCTTTAAAACAGATGAAGACCCCTCAAGATTTAGCAAGTACTTATACGTTTACAACAGCGTTAAATATGAAGCACACAATACAACGAACAACCTCTTACGGAATAAACGTAAGCCTACTTAATTTAAAAAAAAAAATCCTCCCATACTTATCCATTTATTATGTAATGTTCGCGGTTGGGTTGACAACTTATTTAATCCTGCATGTTGTCTTGTTTTTTCTAGGTTCACTAGCAAAAGGCACAAAAACTCATGTAAAAATACTGGTGGAAACATATAATATTATATCAATACTTAAGAAGGAATTAACCATCGAGAATAATAATATGGTCTGCGTTGAAATTTGTCTTAGTGCACTTTGTTCCATATCAGAGCATGATTACGTAACCGCTGAGCAGTTTTTCGGTGATGATGTCAGTATTTCACACTTTCTAGGTGAGTAAGAGCTAAATATGTCTGTAAAAACACGCTTTAATCCTAATCAATAATTTATAATTTTTTTCTGTTTTCTGTTTTTTTTTTGTTTTTTTTGTTTTTGCATTAGCTTTAACATCATTCATGGGCAACTCGCTGAAATCGCAAATTTATATAACAACCATATTGTGTTCTCTTTGCCAGTCCAAAAAAGATCAATTAAGTTTTTTAAATGCCGGTATAATACCAATCCTGACCCGCATCATTTCAATGGAGAACGAGCCTGTTCAAATACCAGCTTTAAGATGCTTGTGCTGCATGTGCTTTGCAAATAGATCCGTTTCAGACATCATTTGCGTCACAAGGTATTTTCCACATAAAATAATACCGCGCCGAGCGCACAATATATTTTACTTACTTCAGTTTTCAAGGCAAATCGCTTACAGACATTTTAAATTGTTTAATGTCTCGCTCCTTTTCTCCTAATATTCAACTGGGAGCAGCTCGGTGTATGACTTACATATATCGATCTGGTACTCTTCCTTCAACGGACCTTAGAATTTTGCACAGAACTTTACCTTGTTTAGTAAGGCTTTGTTCAGAAGATTATAGACAAGAAATAAGAGCTTCAGCAGCGGAAACATTGGCGATACTCATTGAGGTTTTAGTTTAAAATTGCTTAGCTTTTCTCTATTCATTGATAAAACATATCGAATTCTAGGTGGACGCTAAGCTTCAACAAATCGCTGCTATCTGCAATCATCTTCTGAAGTCTCTATTTCAATTAATAAAAATAAACGAACCGCACGTAAAGCAAGCAGCATTAAAATGTTTGGCAGCGTTGGGTGCTAACGATGAAACAATACGTAAAAAAATTATCGACATAAATAGTCTTGTGGATGGCATATTGCAAAGCTTAAATGACTGGGAGAGTCAGGTAATACGAGTAACATTTATTAAGACAATTAATGCAATTTAACATCAATTTACTATGCTTTTGCTAGGTTAGAATTGCTTCTATTCGATGTCTTCATTCGCTGTCACGTTCTGTTCAACAACTGCGAACGACTTTTCAGGTAATTTCTCTTATTATTGTGATACTATCGCCACAAACCAATAAGATCAGGCACTGCAGCTCTTAAAGTACGAACATAAACTGACTAAAATCTGTTGTTTCTATAATATTCTAATAATTGTAACATTCTATATAATAAGTATTCGTTATTTATTCTAAATGTCTTGTGTGAGAAAAGAAAATGGACAAAGTCATTTGGCTAGCGTGTCCTCACATTTTCCCAATAAATTTTTGCTCACAAGCACATATATCTCACACTGGTAATATAATTGATAATTAACCTTTGCGGGCACGAAATCCGCCCAAATGTGATTTTCAATCAATTTTCAGACATTGATAATTTCGCAAATTTCTGTAACATCTTGCTCTGGCTCTTCGTCTGTAGCGAACTCTTCACCCTATACTAAAGATTGGCTCTCCTGCGCTTATTATTACAGTAAGCAGCTTAACAGCTATATTCGGAACAATACGTGTTCAAAATGCATTCAATTGTTGATTTGAATTGAAATCTGCCAGCAGTTAGTAGATTTTAAGATCGGACCGTTATACGTGGAACACAAAGTTCTTCTTTCGAATGCTTTAGAAGACATGTGCGGTGAGTCTTTCAAACTTTTTCCCATATATAACGTACGCACAGCAAGAACTTCTGTATCGATAAGGTTGAAGAACATAGCGTGTGGGCCAGCAATTTGTTCCGCTCTTATAGGTGTATTGATATAGCATTTTTGCCCTTAGTTTTATTATAATACATAATGATTTCTGGTTTTTCTCTTGGCCAAGTCATAGCATTGTTTTGTTGCTGTATTCTTGACTATTGAATCTTAGGCTTATTTTTGCCAACATTGTATGACACCGAAGACCCATTTGATTATGCGAATATCACTACGACTTAATGAGAAATAATTGATTTTTCTTCCCAAAACCTTTGATGTTACGGTTCACTTTCAAGTATAACTTCACAGTCTACCCTATTTTGTATTTTCTTTTCTCTTCTGCCCTCTTTCGTTAATAATTTTGGAAATAATGGAGTATAAGTAGGACTTTTTGTACTCAAAATACGTGCAAAATAAGAAGAAACCATCCGGGTGGATTTCGGACCTTCACGTATATAAAAAGCTTTCGACCTGCAATAGTCAGGGAAATGATTCTTAATTGTAAATATTTTTTGAAAATGTCAGTTGAATAAATTGAACATGAAGGCTTTAGATAGAGAGCATTATGAATCATGTTTATTAAGAAATTTTAATTAAGGAAGGTTAATTGTTAATTGTTAGACAAAACGTTAAAAATTAATGAGAATGCAATTATATAACAATATACATAGGCATATACGATTTAAACAATGAATTGTTTCGAAAAATCGAATTTATTATTAATGATACGCATTGCCGCTGTTTTCAGGATCATTCAATTTGGGAACCACTAATATTTATAATGAATAACGAGGCCTCTACGGATTTTTTAATCGCAGTGACTGCAACAATTTGCAATTTATTACTGGAATTTTCTCCATCAAAAACACCACTCATAGGTTCGGGAATCATTGAGAAGCTTTGCCAGTTTACAGAACATGAGCATCCTTCCTTACGGCTAAATAGCATATGGGCTTTAATGAATCTTACATACCAGTCTGATGATAGCACGAAAACCAATGTTATAAATACGATAGGTATAAGAAGAATTTTGGATTGTCTCAATGATTCGAACCCTCTCATTGTACTAAAATCATTGGGTTTATTGAGAAATATTCTCAGCGAAGCTCATCAAATCGATCCGATTATGTCCATGCATGCTAAGGAGATAAATGATTCTTTATATGTGATATTAGATTCTGCTACATCGGCGGGGATAAAAGAGCAGGCTCTCTGCGTGATTGGTGGCGTTGCAGCTGAAAGCCATCAAAAAGATTACATAATAAACGATGAGCGGCTTCTAAAGCTTATTGGGGAACTTTTGGTAAGTAAGCGATAAAATGTTATCATAATTTTTGATTAACAATTTATAGATCAATTCTTATATCTGTTACCGGGGAACGGAAGGAAACTAATTTTGAAGATCAAAACGCGGTGTCTCACGCTAATAGTTTGACATATAACATTCTGAGTTGACTTTTCCATATAGTTAAATTGGCCGGAAAAGTATTAAATAGGTGTTATCTTAAGACTACGTCCGTTACCTATGACAGTTATTTAGTGTAAGCTGCATTACTTTTATGCTGAATGCATTAAATTTCCAAATAAGTCGATTATATCCCTTCTCACTAAATTGTTTACATATATTGATCAATTGCTCACATTATTTTTCATCCTTAATTTAATAGACCGAAAGCCTGTTCATTTTTTTTCGGGCTTTCTAAATATTCGTCCCGCATTTGTATGTTACTCTACGTACTTATTAAGTGTAATCTTATATATGTGTGAACGGTGTTGGCTAACAGTGGCTTGCTGTCAAGTATTAGCAGAAATCTTTGTTGTAACAAACAAAAATATCTTGAATTTATGAATAATTTGAAAAAAAAAATGTTTCAAAAGTCCCTAGAAACGAGTACATAGGCTTTTGCAACATATTGTGCTTTAAGGTCGATAGAAATGAATCTTTTCAATATTCCTTTGGATGCTCAAAAGAAATTTCTTGCTTACTCTGCCTGATGTAATTTGTTTTTTTTTTTTCAAGGTCAATGGCGATTCAATAATCTATAATTTAATTGTTCATATGTATTCGATGGATCTCTCTCTCTCTCTCTCTCTCTCTCTCTGCAGACTTGTCACTGTTAGTGACGAAAGATATATATTTGCCCGCATGTGTCATGGTGTCTTCACAAAGACTTTTCATATTAATAAGTTGTAGAAAACATTGATATTAGTCACACACAATAGACATGGAAATACATATTAGTATTAGACATTATGTATGTCATCAAATCATTTCGAATTCATAGCGAGTCGTCATTTTGCCAAATAACCTAAGATGATATAACATTTAGTCATTAACATTAAGTGAATGCTATAAAAGTTAACATATTCTTTATATATTCTTTTTTGCAGTTTCATCCCGATAAAAGAATACAAGCCGGATCGCTATATGTTATTAGCAGTATCGTCCATCGTAAAGACATATGGTCGGATAAGAGCTCCTTAAGGCTTACAAATTTAAATGTCTTAAGAAACGTTCAGGAGCTAAATAAAACAACTGAAAATGTACAAATTAGCAATGATTATATTAGTCGAACATTAAAGCAAATTGTTGTCAAATGTAAGAGTATGTATCCAGATATTACCAACTAGTTGTAATGTTAGCAAATATCCATTTATTTAATATATTATGAACAATCCTTCTTTCAATTCGTTATTCGTTTAGTTCCTTATGTGTACTCAGGTCTTCTAATTTATTACGCATATCCACAAACAAAGGATCGAAATATATATAGTCATTTTGTAACACGGAAAAATCGGCAATTTCGATTATTCGTGCGTGTGACGGAATTTCAAATTCACGCAGCTATATCTCTGCGTATTTTCTTCTCTTCATCTATCTTAACTATATCTTTGCCGCCGTTCGTCCGTTAGCCATCTCTAATAAATATTCTTTCGAAATATGTTTTAATAGCTTTTCTTTTGTTTTTATATCGTCTTGATAGAATATATACATGTATTAATTATGTGCATTTAGCGCATTTGTCAATTGAATTCAATTCGATTACGAAATATAGTAAAAAAATTATTGCTTATCTTAAATTGTTCAACAACGATATACTATATTGTTTAATCATCCTGGTATTCGTCGAGTGATTCGAGAAACTAGTTTTCGATGAATGTCGGCTACGAAGGTCGGCTAAGAAAACCCGAAAACTAGCGGAGCAGAAGACACTACAAGTAACAATGACGGCAATAACAGTACCAATTGGAACGTATTAGCGAACAGATGGAAGATCTGTGCATTTCATATCATCGAAGTCATCAAAAAGCCAACCAGAGCGCAGAGCGCAAACAAGCCCTTGTCTGTTTTTCCTAGAGATAATGACGTGATTAATGCCTGTGAGCATTTCTAGAAAATTATGTTAGTTTTGACATTTAATTGTACAGTTATTCGTAGTATAGAAAAGCAAATCTAAAAGTGACTGCACAATTTTCCTCCTGAAAATGATCGGATTTGTGTGTGTGAGAAATATTCCACTTTCTACTTAATTCGGAATCCAGCGGTAATAAGTCACCAAGTGGAATGAACATTACGTACATTCCGATATCCAAGCCGCAAATGGCTTGAGATCAAGTGAAACATTACTGTCGTCAGTGAAGTTGAACGTACATGACTCGCATCTGGAGAGAGAGGGAAGCCGCGAAAAAACCATATAATTTTCCGCATGTGATTCACATTCTCCTAAGAAGGCGGGAGAAGCGCCCGAGGCAAAGGTGTAGTTGGCGATTAAAATAAAATCAATCTATTAAAAAAGCACTTCTTCCAATAAATTATTTTCACACCTCTCTGAACATGTTGCGGTCATTGCGTTTGAGGGCAACAACAATATAAAAATAGGAAAATGTAATCAATAATTTATTATTATTGCTGCAAAAGCAATTGCAAATACATTGCGTGCGGCTCAGATATTGGGCTTAGTTATTTCTAAGAGAGATCGAAGTGATTGCGGAGAGAGTAAGAATGAACAGAAATCCCAAGATTAGAGATACTAGCTTACAAATTTTTTTAAGCCATCAGCCTTCAGTTGCTTACCCGTCACGTCAGGCAAATCGTCTAAGTCATGATGTCAGTCAATATGTCTGCCTTGAATGGGTTATTATCTTTTTAATAAGACGTCAGTGAAATCTAAATTTTCACAATCACATCAAGAATTATTATGCTATCTATATTTTAAACTTAAATTCTAGAGCTTTTAAAAGGAGTCCAATAGATGACATTGGCCATTGGCATATGCCACAAGATAGGGTTAAACTCTACCGCTATTCTATAATTTAAAACGTAATCGAATGAATAGAGAAGCGAATAAGCAAGCGAGAGTTTGAGAATCGCAACTGACTGACAACTGAAATATTAGGTTGGAGGGAACGTTCTGTTGTATTTGAAATAGGCAGGTAATTTTTCTTGTAAATTAAAAAAACATCTGGCTGGTGAGTCATTCGGATGTTTTTTTGTTTTTTTAGCTGCTGTAGAATATAAGAGGAGTCTTTTTTACCGTTCATCATTTACTTGTGATATTTAAAGTGGAAAATATGCATTTGCACTGCATTTTGTATGAATTCCAAAAAGTAAGCAACGCATCGGTTGCATGTAAAAATTTATATGCGGTATTTGGAAGAGATATTGCAAATATTCGTACTTGTCAAAGATGGTTTAACAAACTTCTTTCCGGGGGATCTGAGCCTCCAACTAAGTGATCGATAATGATGTTTTGCGATCCATCTTGGAAAATAATTCACATTTAACAAGTCGAGAAATTGCAGAAGAGTTAGGTATCATGGCATCATGCAACTGTTGGAGATCACATTAAATCTCTTGGAATTGTGTTAAAGCAAAGTATATAAATAAAATACGACAGCCGATAGCCTGTGTTGCTAGTGCTCAATGTCTCTTTTTTTAGTCTAAGAATTCAATTCATTAGTCTAAAATTAAAATAATAATAATAATAATAATAAAATACGACAGAACTTTCCCTCCAACCTATTATATCGTTTTATGCGTATATCGTAAACATTTATTAATCTTATGCTTTTAAATTTGAAGAAAATTTTCAAAGTTTATTTAGCATAGCATAGCAAAGCGAAGATTGGGCTTTGGTTGGCTGAATCTGGATGAGAAAGAATTTCAACAAAACACATTACGAAATTATAAATATTTTTCGCTTCTTCCGTGGACGTGTGAACTTGAAGAAATAGCAGAGCTTCGTCTCGATACAATATCCTTTTACTTTGCCTACTGATTTGGATTGAAGTGAACCATTTGAACTTGGATAGGGGAAATTATGAAAATATTCTGATTATTTCCTTCCAAACATTTTCGAGAATTCGCCTTGGTCGTACAATTGCAACTCATCAATGGATCTTGAAGAGATCTTCTTCCCCAATCTGCACTATAAAGCACATTCTCTGCGACTGCCTTAGGTTTTCTTTGGCTAGAAGTATTGCATTTGAAACGATTAACCCTATGGACATTCTACAATCATCTACAGAACAGAATATCAATACAATATGTTACATCATCAAGGCTACTAGGATCAATATCTAATATACTTTTATAAATTAGAGTCGATAGCCTGTGTTCCTAGTGCTCTATGTCTTCCTTTTTTAGTTTAAGAATTTATTTCATTACTCTAAAATTATAATAATAATATTTTCTTCCTTTCCATTGCGAAAATATACGATAGTATTGAAAATGACATATTTTTTTTATGAGCGTAGACGCAATCAATAAAACGAGGTGTTCTTTATATGAAGGGTTGAACGTTGGAAATTGTATATGTCGCTTGCAACGCCCAGAAGCGATCTTCCTTTACCCGCCAAACTGTATATATTCTTGGTCAACATGAAATTCTAAATCGATTTAAGCATGTCTGCCTGTCCGTCTGTGTAATATCGGTTATAAACATTCTCCTGGTTGCAAAAATGAAGCTATTGAGAGTGGCCCACATCGGTCGAAGGACACGCCCACAGTACCACATAAACTGAGAAAATCTCCGCTTTTCAAACGGAGTGAAAAAATTTTTTTTTTTTCTCGTACACTGCAGCAGATAAACCTACACAAATTCGAACGTACCTATGATGGTTTGGACCAAGGAAGAGCGTTATTGAAAATGATTCCCTTTGTTTCATTTTTTTTTTTTTTTTGAAAACTTCTCATATAACGGGTTATTTTGAAAAGACGTTATATGGTAAAAAATTGCAATTTTCAAAATTTTTCAACAAAACTCCCTCTGCAATAGTATTTCGGCATTCCAAGCTGGTAATTTTCTGAACTGTCTCTCATATAATCGTTCCTACGGAAACTGAATTTTTAGTACTTATGAAAAAGATATAAATTTTCATGGTGAGGATTACTTCATAATAATAAGTTGACATTGAACCAATGATACATAGATTAACCTTACCGAATTTGGAGCACGTCGGTGTATTTTTTGGATTTCACCGCATATAAGGATTCTCCGGAAATGCAAATCCTTATGTGCTGCAAAGGCTTTGCTTTGGTTAATGTTTAGTGATAAAAACTTGTTCATTGTAGTAATATGGCATAAAAATTAAGTGGACAAAATTTGAAACACTTGGGTCTGTTTCTTGCAGTCTATTCTATGGGAGATTTCTCATGAATAGTAAGATCTTCAGAAAAACTTTAATTTTTAACATTTTATAATGAAAATTGTTCCATAGCATCCATAAAGCAAAAAAAAAAAAAAAAAAAAAGAAACGGTAGGAAGTCTTGATCAGATAAATCTCTCTTGTAGACTCCAAGATATGGGATTTTTATGAAAAGCAGACTCTAATATGGAGAGAAAGTCTAGTTTATAGGTTTTTATGACGAAAACTGAAAAATAAAATTTTTTTTACGAAGTGAGTAGATCCTGCAATATGCGGGCTTTCATGAAAAATATGCCTTAGCGTGGAAATAACTGTGCAATATTTGATGTCCTATTAACACAACGACGGAGTATTGTAGCGTATTTAATGGTCAGTCTTACCTGTTTATATATATTGTTCTTGTTGTTGTTGTCGTTTTGTTGAAAATGCTTATTACTGCACTTTATATCATTTTATTACAAATTTTATACAATTTTGCTTTTATTTACGTTTGTACGATTTTATTGTCGATTGTATCATGTTGGTTGCTTGTAAACAAGCAAACGTCAAGTTTACCGCTTATTTCTCCTTCGAATATCGAAAAACGAAACGATAAATCGTCCATAACTAGCAAAATTAAATGACTTGTAAGTTTCATCGTCGAAGCGAAAGATAATTAATCAAAAAATACTTAATCCGGAGGGGGGTGAAAACTAGCTCCCGTTTTTGCATTCAGCCGTTTAAGCGAAACAGCTGAATACAATAGCGTAAGTTAAATTTCTCATACGTGATTAGCCCCTAATGCGCAGGTTAGCATTGTTATCTTGGAGAGACATAAATCTCGGTAACGTTTGGAAAATTATCCAATTTTTTAGTAAAATCATCTTCTCAGATGAAGTTGATTTTTGCACCAACGAACCGATATTTTTTGCTATGTAGCGAAACCAAATAGTTTTCGCAAGACGCCTTTACTCGTCTCGTAAATGAGACCATTTGGCGTAGTTTTTGTGCCGGGAACGGGGACATTGTCGATTCTTATTTATTTGAAAATGGGAATAAGGGTCCCCTAATCGTAAACCGATCTAAATACATTTTTTATGATATAGATGGGAAGTTGTTAATGCAAATGATATGTGGTTTTGACGCGGCGACGCTACGTGCAACATCGTTCACCGAACAATCAATTTATTACGTGATACGCTTGTTGATGTAATAATAAATTCAAAATATTATCAGTATCGAAACGGGGTGTGGCTATAACGTAAAACTTTCGCATTCGTTTCTTTCTTTATTTATGGGATTATTTGAAATTGCTGATCTACGGTAATAAATCAGATTAGCTTTTCATGCATTAACAGCGAATATGGAACGCGCTAATGGTGAACAAAGGATCCCTAAAATTGCATGTAAGTTTATCGGGCTTGTCTCCGAAAGGAGATTATGTTATGACGGCTTGAAAAATCTATTTATTTTTCTTATTTTTGATTTAATTATTGTCTAATATACGAATATTTCATATATGAAAAATTTTTGTAAATTAAAAATATATATATATTATATATATTATAAATGATTGAAAGAATTGGTTTTAATTGTTATGCACTTTAGTCTTTCATTTAAGCATTTTTCGGTAGGGTTTCTTTCTCTGAAATGGAAACATGAGCTGATAACAAATTTCTGAGCCCCTTGAGCGAAATATCTATAACTATTCGCCGTTCATAATTCGATTTTCGAGTGAGCTCTTAGTTATTGAACGACTTTAGTTACTAACGGTTCATTAAATGATTGAAAGCGTGTAGAAAACAAATAAGAAATGAACGAAACGAAATATAAATAAATAAATAAATAAATAATTGTATAAATACTTTTGTTAAAAAGATAAATAAGTAAATTGTAACTGAAAATCAAATAAATTCAATTCAATAACACCCTAAGTAAATCAGTAGAAAACGCCCGTTATCAGTGTGAAATATAATGATTGAGTAATTTGAAGTGTTTGTCTTAAGACATTAAGTATTTATGAATTCGACAAGGGTTTCTTTCTTTCTTTGCCTCTTTTTCTCTTCTTATAACAAATCGTACAATATTTGCACTTTCGAAATTTAAAACAATGACGCTCTTAACGTTCGTACCCTAGGAAGCATGCTAGAAACACGAATGTAGAAAAGTCTTATATGAATAATTTGCCTGAATGTGCCTAAATATAATTGAGATTTATCCCAAGTTACGCCCACTTTATATATAGATAAATAGAAATGTAAAATTATAGATTTTTGTTCCAGTACATTCTCTATTCTCAGCAAATTAATTCCCTACACAGACGTGTAGTAGTGATTGGGCAATGGGGTCGCTTGTATGTGGTTAAGTAAATTTGCCATTGTCATAAAGTTGTCATTCTAACCTAAGATGATGCTTGTAGTCATAACTATTCCGCGTGCATTCACTTTTTGGGTTTTTTGCACTTTTTTGTATAACTTTTTATACTTATTATTGGGTGATAGGAGAGGGTGAAGGATCGAAAAAAGTTTCAGTGATCTCATAAGGTGCATATATGTTTTTATAATCAGCATCAAATTGTGAAACAATTTAAGCATGTCCGTCTGTCCCCCTGCCTGTCTGTCTATGTCAAGCCTGCAGTGAACATTCTCCTAGACGCTTCATATTTGATAGAAACATTGAAAGTTCTTGTGGCCAAATCGATTGAGTGAGACACCCGCAAGTCAGAACATTTTGCTCATTACTCATAAGCTACAATAATAAATATTTTCATATTGTATTTTAATAAAAAAATTAAGAAATTATTTGAATTATTTGTTATATAAAAGTGTTGGGTATTAAAGATTCGACCATAGCCGCATGTAGTTTCTCTACTTATTTCATATTGCAGATAGTAAGCGTATGAAGAAGGACACAATATTCAGTTGTCAAAGTTTATATATATATGTACATTGTTGATATATATATATGTATATATATATGTATATATATATATGAAACATTCGAATCCATTCAACTTTTTTTTTTTGTGCAACAAAACGTGGTTACATTAATTCGATAATTTGAATTGATCTAACATTATCCAAACCGCCTGAATTGAGATGGTTAAGCAGAGCGTAACACATTTGCGTGGAGTTGATATTCGATTGATTTAGCTCAAAAATTTAGGTTATTAATTTACAAATGTACAACAACAACCGTATAATAATAAACGTTAACAAATCGATCGATAATTTCTATATATATATATATGTTGGTCCATAAGTTGCGATGCATTCCAAGCTTCTGGCGTGAAATTATGATCGAATGACACTGTTAAGATTTCTGCTGACGCGTTCACTTTATGAAATTTGTTAAAATTTTCAGAAAGCTTAAATGACGTTGTGTGCCAGATCGGACAAATGACTCGCTGAACTGCACACGTGTTAATTACACAAGTTCGCTCAAATCGAAAAATAACCGCGCCTATCTATACGTCTATGCACACTTTTTTTTGTTTTTTTTTGTCATCGCCTTGATAGACGCCCTGATTGACTATAGACTTCTTCAGAATTAAAATCAAGAGAAAACAAAAATGTATCAAGAAGGTTGTCCTTTTTATCGTAATGACCTTATAACTCAAAAAATTTATATAAATATTAAAATACTATTATTCAAGGACTTTTAGTTAAAAAAAAAAAAAGAAGAAAATTATTTAAAAAAATCTCTGAAACCAATGAAGAAAGCAAATAAATAACAAAGTTTGTTTATCAATCAATAACAATCAGTCAATAACAACAATAGCAACAATAATAGCAATAACAACAATAACAACAACAGCAATAACTTTTATTAACTTCCACCGATGATATGATAATGATAAGCAGCTTGAACGTTGTTTGCATTCATACGAGTATATGTATATTTATTTATCTAGTGGTGTCTACCGGCCGTATTAATTGCTTTAACGATTACATTTGTTTGTTCACATTAAATAATTATTTATTTTACATTCATTTCAACTTACAT